AGTTTTTGTTAGCTAGGGCCTGCCTCCAAACATCAAGACTGAACTCTGGTCAGCCCGAGTGGCACGGCCTCAGCTCCATATTCTCTCCAGTCCCCCAGGTCATAAAGGCCATTCCAGTTGGCACCCACCAGCACTGGAGGAGGGGGACCAGAGAACCTGAGCTTGAGTCTGACATGGACGGAGGCCAGTTTCCAGGCACACTTCACAGAAGGCTCTTTCTCCATAATTATTTAAGCCAAAATAAACTGAGAACAGAACAGGCTGTGAGACCGGCTCTACTTCCCTTCCTTCAATTAGACCAAAGCTAACTTGCTGTAACAGAGACTCAGAAGCTTAAGGAATGCAAAGATTTATGTTCCGCTCAACGTGGCAAGTAATCCACCTGCCGGGGCCTTGGCTCCTTCCAAATTGCTGCTTTGCCAGATTTTAGCCTGAGCCTTGCTACCCAACGGGCAATCCAAGGAAGCACGGCCTGGAAATCTGCTGGAAACGTAAAATCTCAGACTCCACCTTAGATCTACTGTGGCAGCCAGAGCCAGTTACTTAATAAGGGGTTCCCAAAGCAAAAGAAGAATGCGGAGAACCTTATTCAGAAATCATTTAAAATTCCAAGATGGTGGGGATGCCTGGGTGGCTCAGTCAGGTCAGCACCTGCCTCTGGCTCAGGTCATGATCCAAGTCCTGGGATCGAGTCCTGTATTGGGCTCCTTGCTCAGCTGGGCGCCTGCTTCTCCCTCTCCCTCTGGTGCTCCCCCTGCTTGTGCGCACGTGCTCTCTCTCTCTCTCTTCTCTCGGTCTCTCTGACAAATAAAGAAATAAAATCTAAAAAAATACTTAAAAAAAAAAACCCAAAACACTGACACTAAGTCACTAAACCCAGGTTTTACCTACTGATAACAGGTATAAATATTGCCCACATCACTAGAGGGAAACATCAATTTGAATATTCACTATGATTCAGAGTTGCCCATCTAGAAAAATGTATTACTTAGGCAAGATGGGAAAAACACAATCTGGGAAAACATTCTCTGTATTTAGGCCACAGTGGTGCCAGTCAGTATTTTTCTGAGCCCTCTGGAAAGAATTACCATGAAGGATTTTTTTTCCGGGCTGCTTCTGTGATCTGTATTTGATCCAGAAGGCCAGGGCTGCCTGAAAACTCCAGACACCACACAGCAGCTCTGTGTTGCAACTCTGCAGTGTTGTTCATGAAGTTTAGTGGTATGCAGAGTCTTCTAAACGAAGGGGTAGGAAAAGCTCTGACCCCACTCTAAAGTTTCTGTTTCCGGGCACTAGGAGAGAGGTCAGCCCCTTGTTTGGCCACAGAATGGTTAAGATGATGAAGTCTGTGTTATGCGTATTTTATCACAATGTAAGATAACCCACACTTGCCATTCAGAGGTTAATTAAGCAGGGGCCCACATGCAGAGCGTGTCCAGAAGCAGAGAACCCAAGATGAGAGATAAACTCTGGAACCGAGAAACTGAACTTGGAAACAAGTCACCAATGGGCCTCAACAACAAGCTCAAGGATTCGGGCTTTATTCGGAAAGCAGAGGGGAGCCACCAAAAGTTACAGATGGGGAAGAGGCCCAATTAAGGCTGTGCCTCAAGAGGAAAAGAAATCTGGCGGTGGATCTCTCATTAACCTCCCATGAGACCAAGACAGGGCTTTCTCTAGAATTCAAGATCACTCCTCAGCTAAATCTAGGAACAATGTAGGAGTAGGAGAATTAAATCAGACCCTTGATCTGCAGATCCCAGGCCTGGGGCAGGATCCCCAACATCAGTATTTTTCACTAGCTCCTGCGGTGACTCCAGTGTGTAGCAAGTTTGTGAGTCACCTGACTTGGGGGATACCTAGGTGCTTCTATTTTAAGGAGCTGACACTGAGTGGTAGCAGAGGGGAAGGTAGAGTTTGGAAGTGAAGAAACAAAGGTCATTAAAACTGCTCTGACTGTCCAGGCAGGCAAGAAGGAATGAGAACGTGGACCAGCGGCAACAGCAAGTCGGGGAAAAAAATGACCGATGGAAAAACACCACCAACACAGAATGGAGAGCATTTCCCTAGGGATGGTGCATGAGAGTTGAGGAGGGGGAGAGGCAAGGACGGACACAAGGTTCCGAGCCTTGGGCAGGACAGGGACAAATTTAACACATGCAAGGACATTCTTAACTTCAACTTTGGTCCTCCCACTCTCTCGGAGTCATACAAACCAGCTTACTCGTGTCTGATCACTACTGGGCATAAGGATATTCCAGCCCTTTCGCACCAAAGCTAACCCGTGTTCCCTGCGCACTGTCACAAGCTCTACTGCCCCGCACTTCAGTCTCATGTGTCACCCAGAGATGGCTCTCCCTACACTCTCTGCGCCGGGCACCTGCTCCATGCTTCACTTTCATCACGTTCATGACCTCCGTCACTTCTCAAACCATCCTGAGTGCTACTACTGTCCCCATCGTATATATGAGAAAACTGACACTGAGAGAAACAAAGTAACTTCTCCAAGGTCATTTAGGAGGAGGCAGAACAACATTCAAAGCTAGACAGCCCGCCTCCGCACCCAAGCGCTTATCCACTATGCTACCCTGTAGCCCTGTTGAAAGTGAGGCCACCCTGCGTCACTCTCTAGAATTTTTAGGCCAGTGAAAGATACAAGTTGTATTAGGAAATACTGCCTAATACCCACTTGACTGTTGAAACTTTATTGCTTAACTGAAGGGGCTTTTTTGCTGTTGCTTGGTTTACTTTGGAAAATAAATTCAGAGGATGTGATTTTTTAAAAAAATTATTTATTTATTATTATTTTTTTAATGCCAGAAATTTCTCTGTACCCACTTGGCAAATGAGGACTGCTGTATGATCCCTTAGAGCAATCTGTCGGGAAATGATTGCACCATCGGGGCAGTTCAAGCCATCTCCTTCTGAGATTTCTTCTGGGTTCTCTTTTGGACAGACAGAAGCCGAAGGCCAGTGAAGGGAGGCATCTTGCCCTTTACCTCAGTACAGACGAACATTTGACATAATCTGATACGGACAAAACCCAGCTGATTCTAGTGGGAAGGTAAGATATTGTGACCGACAGAAGTATGTACTTGGCCTTCCTCCCATTTTTGGCATACAGCTCCTAAAAACCCTTGGAATTTCCTAAGAGATGAGCGCCACAGAGGTGTCTTGTAGTACTAATGAGGTGATATTTGGACTGCTCCTAAGGATGGGGGCTGGTTGCCAGTAAAGCCAACCACGTGATTTAGAGAACTGGAACCTTCAGTCCCACCCTCCAAACCACCACCACACCCCGACCTCAGGAGGGAGAGAGGGACTGGACATTAAGTTCCATGGCCAGTGACCAGTGATTTAACCAACCACGCCCTTGTAACGAAGGCATAAAAACCCCAAGAACTTGATTCAGAGAATTTCCGGACTGGTGACCATGTCATATTCAGAGAAGGTGGAGCTTGGAGCAGGCACAGAAGCTCCTCATACTTTTCCCCAAATTTTGCCCTATGCATCTATTCTATCTGGCTGTTCCCAAGCTGTCCTTATATAATAGACTGGCAATCTAGTAAACAAACTGTTTCTCTGAGTTCTGGGAGCTGCTCTAGCAATTTAATCAAATCATCAAACCCAAGGAAGGGATCATGAGGACCTCTGATTTATAGCCAGTTGGTCAGAAGTACAGGTAACAACCTGGACATGCAATTAGTGTGCAAAGCGGAGGGCGGGGGTGGGGAGGTGGGGGGATGGGGTGACTGGGTGATGGACATTAAGGGGGGCACGTGATGTAATGAGTATTGGGTGTTCATAAGACTGATGAGTCACTGATCTCTACCTCTGAATAACACATTATATGTTAATTAACTGAATTTAAATTTAAAAAAATAAAATGGAGGGCACTCTTAGGACTGAGCCCTTTACCTGTGGGATCTGACGCTACCTCTGGGTCAGTAGTGTCAGAAATGGGTTGAACTGTAGCCATCCAACTGGTGTCAGAGAATTGCTTGGTAAGAGGAAACCACACACAAACACACCCACCCACCCACCAACCCTACCCCCACTGTTGAGCAGAATCGTTAGGTTTTTTATGCTTCCCAAAACTCTATGAAACTCTGTAAGCCTCCTCTCCCTGACAATCTCTTCAACCCATCTGGTTACATAGTATCCGAATATCAGATGGAAGTCTGACAACCATTTCTGTCTGTAGCTCTCAGTGTTATGACTGAGTCATTCAACATATCCAACTTTTCTTACTCCACATTGAGGTTACCCACACTTCCGGCAAATTGCTCACAATAAACCTTGTATCTACTGAAATAAAAACAGAATTTACATTTATTATTAACGTTAATGTGCTACAAAGGTACAGGAGCCTGAGGAAGGCATTCTAGTACATGGCTTAAATGACACAAGCGCCTACTACCGTCTTTGTTAGTACTTAGCTTTCCTTTATTATGGCTTTTAAAAAATAATTTTTAAAAGTGCATGATTCCTTTGGGCCACCGTTTAGTAAAGATTAGAGATAAAACATTTCCAGTAATAAATTAGTCATTTGTATATAGGTTCAGATTAGAAAACATCAAATACTAGGAAAAATATATTTTAAATTAGCTCAATTTAAATATGGGGTCATTTAATGTAAATATCTAACTTGAATGCTCAATGTTTCACTTCTTTGATGTGCTAATTCCATTCTGCCAGGTCTTTTCAGTAATTTCTCAACTATTCCAGCTAAGATGTAAAAAGAATTCAACTCCTGCCAGTTACTTTATCCGTCTTCATGGAACTGGGAGGAGAAACTTCTGCTCCCTCCATGATAGTCACAACAGGAAACTAATTATCCCAATCCACCAGCAAGGAGAAGGTAATACTGTCGTTCAGAATAAGGTCGGCATGGCTGTGAACTTTCATATTCTGATTCCAGGGCACTTCATTTCACTAAACAAAGACTGATTCCTTTCAAAGTTCAATCCTGGGTGAGAAACACTGAGGACACAGAGCCACAAACGCAGAAATGAGGGACACTGACAAAAGTACACCCTGGAAGGTGGCAGGGTTTTCAGGTGGTACATTTCCTTCAACAGCAAATGCACTCAGGACGTTTGGGAGTATGATTCAGTTTTTCACAAAACGTTGTGACATTTGCTCAATCTTCTTCCACTAGGCCTGCTGAGACCAGAGAAACCGATCACATTTTTCAAGCATGCTTTGTATCAAGGCTCTGAAATCCCAAAGAAAAGAAACAAGCACATTTAGTTTTTGTTGTCCTTTCTTTACAAGACACTTTTTAAAACACACAGAAAATTAAAGGATTCAAAAAGTTGACTGATCTGTGCATCAAAAGACAGGATCAATAGAGTGAAAAGGCATTCTGTCCTATAGGAGAAAATATCTGTACATCATGTATCTGGTAAAGGGTTAATATCCAGAATATACAAAAAATTCAAAAAAGAAAAACAATACGATTTAAAAATAGGAAAAAGGACATGAACAGAGGTCTCCAAAGATAATATACAAATAGCCAACAAGTGTATGAAAAGATGCACAGCACCATTAATCATTAGGGAAATGCAAATAAAAGCCACAGTATCCTCTCACCTCACCCCCATTAGGATGGGTACTGTCAAAAAGAAAACTAGTGTTAACTGAGAATACGGAGAAAATGGAACCCTTCTGCACTACTGGTGGGGATGTAAAATGGTAACCCCTATGGAAAACAGTATGACAGTTCCTCAAAAAATTAAAAATAGAATTCCATATAATCTAGCAATTCCACTTCTGGGTACACACCCAAAAGAATTGGAAGCAGGGTCTCAAAGAGACATTTGTACGTCTGTGTTCACAGCAGCTTTACTCATAAGAGACATAAGGGGAAGCATCCCACGTTGAATGGATCCACAAAATGTGGTATGTCCACACAGTGGACTACTATTCAACCCTAAAAAGGAAGGAAATCCTGGCACATGCTCTAATATGAACGAACCTTGAAAACACTATGGTAAGTGAAATAAGCCAGTCATTAAAAAGGAAAGCACCATATAAATTCACTGATATAAGATACTTATAATACAGTAGTCCTCCTCCCTTACCCACAGTTTTGTTTTCTATGGTTTCAGATACCCACAGTCAACCATGGTCCAGAAGCAAACGATCCTCCTTCTGACACCCCATCAGAAGGTCAAGAGTAGCCGAACACTACGTCACAATGCCTAAGTCACTCCCCTCAGTCCATCTCATCACGTGGGCATTTTATCAACTCCCATTATCACAGGAAGAGAGGTGAGAACGATACAATGAGATATTTTGAGAGACAAAGAGAGCAAGAAATGGAGAGAGGGAGAGAGAGAGAGAGAGAGAAAGACCACATTCATATAGCCTTTATTCCGGTATGCTGTTATAACTGTTCTATTTTATCAGTTATTATTAATCTCTCACTAACTTATAAATTAAACTTTATCACAGGTATGCCTATATAGGAAACAACCCAGTACATATAGAGGTTCAATATATCCATGGTTTTAGGTATCATCCACTGGGGGTCTTGGGGAATACCTCCCTTGGATAAGTCAAAATTACAGAGACAAAAGCAGACTGGTGGTTGCCAGAAGCCACACAGAGGCGGTTATGAGGAGTTGCTTAATAGGTAAAGTTTAAGTTTTGCAAGATGATATGGATATACTTAACACTACTGAATCAGACACTTTAAAAATGGTTAAGATGGTAAATTTTACGTTATCTGTATTTTACCACGATGAAAACAAAAACAAAAAAAGCCCTGAGACAATGTGACATTTGGTGCTGTCTTTGCAAACTAGTATACGTCAGCTCTGGGCGTTCACACTGGTCCGCAAGGGTCTCGGTCATGACTGTGGAACACAGCATCACCTTAGGCTCGTCCTTCAGCAGCAGAGAAGTCTCAGCCCCCTCAGCTACTAGGGAAAGGCTGGGCTGAGTCATCTCTAGAGCCCCACCCCCTTCTGAAAATCTGTGAGCTTCCACATTCCCCAAGTACCTGCGGAAAGGGCGTGACAAGGCGTGACAAGTTATTACCTCTGCCTTTTCTCAGCAATCCTTAGGATATCGCAGGTTCTGGTAAACCTCTCTGACAGCTCCACGGTTAAACCACACTCCTGTAGGAGGGACCAGGCCCGATCTGGGCCCATAGCCTTGGCTAACAGGAGTGCCACATTCTCCACGTTGATGGGGGAAGGCCCATCATTGAAGTTCCCATGTGGTGACTTCTGGGGGCTTGGCTTTGTGCTCTTGGTCTGCACCAGATGCAGGAGAAGCTTCCATTCCTCCACAGTCTCTGGGATCCAACCTACACACACAGAAGCACAAATGTTGGCTCTAATGGCTCTTAGCACTCCGCCTGCATACAGGACACGGTCAAAACCACCCTAACACGAAGTTGCTTCTGAACATTTGTTGAGTAATGTACGATAAGGAGAAGTCACAAAATTAGCTCCAAAATTCTTCATTCACCCACTTACTCAGGAATTTCCCAGGTATAGCCTAGGCTAGGCACCCAAGGGGCTGTGCGGGACCAGCCAGACATGATGAGCACTAACTCTTGTGGAGCTCACAGTCCAGTAAAGGGGGCAGAACCCAGATAAACACAGAAATAAATCTGTACTTATAAACTGGGCCAAGTGTGATAAAGACCAGAGAACCACGGTGCCTGTGTGGCTCGTTCATTAAGCATCTGCCTTTGGCTCAGGTCATGATCCCCGAGTCCTGGGATCGAGTCCCACATTGGGACCCCTCCCTGCTCAGGGGAAGCCTGCTTCTCCCGCGTGCACTCTCTCCCAGATAAATAAATGAAATCTTTACTTTAAAAAAAGAAAAGGGGCACCTGGGTGGCTCAGTGGGTTAGGCCTCTGCCTTCGGCTCAGGTCATGATCCCAGGGTCCTGGGATCAAGCCCCACATTGGGCTCTCTGCTCAGCAGGGAGCCTGCTTCCCTCTTCTCTCTGCCTGCCTCTCTGCCTACTTGTTATCTCTGTCTGTCAAATAAATAAAATCTTTAAAAAAAAAAAAGAAAAGAAAAAAGATCAGGAAACCATTAGAGAGAATGACAGATTTGGGGAAGGATCTGAGAAGGGCTCCATGAGGATGGGACAGGTAAGCAGACAGCTGAAAGACCTGGCAAGCTTAGACAGCACATGCCTGGGGCTCATATATGGACAGCTTGAGGTCGCAGGGCATTAGGACTAGAAGATGAAGGAGCCTGCCTTTCTGACAAAGGAAACATGCAAGGCAACTTGTCACAGGACAGAACTTGAATTCAAGAACTCAAAGAAAGGCCTACAGTGCACAAAGGCCTGAATTTTATTCTGAATTCTACATAAGCGGCTTCAAGGAGAGCCACATCATCCAATTTTTGTAAAAGAATGCTTCTGGGGGCACCTGGGTGGCTCAGTGGGTTCCCAGGGGCCTCTGCCTTCAGCTCAGGTCATGATCCCAGGGTTTTTAAAAAAAAAAAAAAAAAAGAATGCTTCTGGCTGCTATAGGGAAAATGGATTAAATGTGGGAGAGAACAGAAACCAGATGACTAATTCTGAGGTTACCGCAGCCATCTGGGCAAGTAGCTAGGACCAGAGAGCTGGTGGTAGAGCCAAAGGAGGTACACAGACAGGAGATCTACATCTGGCAGTAAAACCAACATGCCTTGAAGCGTGATTAATATGAGTTACAGGGAAACAGAAGTGTCAAGAAAAGACCCCCATTTATTACACCAAGGGTAAGAACAGCTGCTATTATTACTTTAACAAAATATTCAGAATCCTTTTATCTGGGCAGAAAGGAATTTTTTTAAAAATTTTATTTATTTATTTGACAGACAGAGATCACAAGTAGGCAGAGAGGCAGGCAGAGAGAGAGGAGGAAGCAGGCTCCCTGCTGAGCAGAGAGCCCGATGCGGGGCTCGATCCCAGGACCCCGGGATCATGACCTGTGCCGAAGGCAGAGGCTTTAACCCACTGAGTCACCCAGGCGCCCCGGGCAGAAAGGATTTTAAGTGATATTTATCTTCTTTATGCTTCCTGAATTTTCAGGGTTTTTTTTGTTTTGTTTTTGTTTTTTTAAATATTTTATTTATTTGACAGAGATCACAAGTAGGCAGAGAGGCAGGCAGAGAGAGAGAGGAGGAAGCAGGCTCCCTGTGGAGCTGAGAGCCCGATGCGGGGCTCGATCCCAGGACCCTGGGATTATGACCCGAGCTGAAGGCAGAGGCTTTAACCCACTGAGTCACCCAGGCTCCCCTGAATTTTCAGTTTTTATATATAATAAACATCCTGACAGAACTTGAAAAATATAAACCACGCCTATCATAACTGTTCTGGTTATTTTTCAGGAGTGTATCCATGTCTACAGCTCTAGTCCTGCAGAACCACCCAGCCCTCCTCTTCATTTCTGAAACAGGGATGATCTAAGTAATTGTTGTGACAGTTGGGACAACTGAAGCTAACACTTGCCAGTCACTGGCTTCTCTGCCCGGATGGAACTTTCCCTCTCCCACACCAACAGGGCTGAACCAGGCTGTAGGTCACACTGCTGAATGAAGGACCCTGATGTCACACGGTTGGCATCTTTGCACGGAGGCGAATAAAGCAACACAACAGAACACTCACGACAGACTCTCAGGCCTCAGATACCATTATCTAAGCCTGGCCTTCTGATTGCCATTGTATCTAGGCTGGACTGATGAAAATTTAAAAAAATTTTTTAAATTATCTAAATACCTATGAAGGCTTAGGAAAAGCTGACTGCACTCTACTTTAAGTTCATTCTGATGATCTAACATTTGGCTGTGGAAAAGGCAATACAGTTCTGAGAAAAGAATCTGAACACAAACTTTAGAGATAATCAGACCTGGGTCTGAACACCTGCTCCACCAGTGGTATGGCTCTGGGGAAACTAACTGTCCTTCCTCTAGGTCTCAGTTGTAACTTCTGTAAAACAGAAATAACAGGAACTATTCCAACAGCTTGTTATCTCACTTAACCAGCAGTGAAAAAAGACCTAGTATAGTGCCTAACACAAAGCAGACACTCATTAATAAAAAAGATGCCTATAGTTTATTCCTAATTATGATTTTGTGATACCCTAAGTGATATAGATAAAAACAAACAAAATAAATGAAAAAGAACAAACCTGCGGGATGCTTTCGTGGTTCAGTCAGTTAAGTGTTTGCCTTCGGCTTGAGTCATGGTCCCAGGGTCCTGGGATTGAGTCCTGTAAGCAGGGAGCCCACTTCTCCCTCTACCTCTGCCCCTCCCCTCGCTCCTGCTCACTCTTGCTCACTTTCTCTCTCTCAAATAAATAAAATCTTTAGAAAAAAAGAAAACCAACCAAAAAACCCCACAAAACAAAACAAAACAAAAACAAACATCCACAAATTTGATGGCTAGCTAGAATTACAGAATTACATATGGGATCATCAAAATGTTCACCAAATTTCTTACTGAAAAATCTGCAGTGACTTCTAAAATACTATAACCAAGAGTAACCAGTTGGGATTTACATACCATTGTTCCCTTCCATCAGGCTCATATCATTCAGGCACACAATATTGGTGAAGGCCTCTCTTCTTCTCTCCAGCTCCAAACAAAGAGAAAGATATCCAGGCCAGAAACTTTAAAGAGAATAAAGTTGAAGAAAGGAATCAAAACAGTGAATTTATCTGGAGCTATGCTGCCCAATATAGTAGATGCTAGCCACATGTGGCTGCTTAAATTTAAATAAAATAAAAAGTCAGTTTTTAAATTTAAATAAAATAAAAAGTCAGCTGACCAATCCATATTTTAAGTTTTCAATAGCCACAGTGGCCAGTAGCTACCATATTGGACAACACAGTAGAATAATTCCGTTATTACAGACAGCTCTATTAGCCCTGATCTGGAGTATTTAAGAAAGAAAAAAAAAGAATAAAAGCTAGAGATAAATACTGACATTTTAGGCCAAGCACCAATTATGAAATGTATAATCTTATATACTTCATAAACTTTCAGATTTCTTCCCCAAATATGCAAACTATGGAAGTTTTCCTTAACTCTTCCCCCTCCTTCATTTGCTATACCCATTGTGTCTAAGTCCCACTGCATTTTCCTTCAGAATGTGCTCCTTCTGCTGCCCTACTTACTAATCACCAATTCAGTCGTACCTGAATTACTGCAACAACTTCCTAGCTGGCCCTCCAGTCTCCAACCCTTCTCATGTATGACACCACAAATGATCTCCAGAAAGCTCCATTTTTATCATGCCATTTTACCCCAAAGTCTAAAAGGTCTCTACTGATAACTAAATTCTTCTGACGAACTGTCAAGGTCCTATATCATCTCATCACCCACCACACCTGGCTAGTCTCATCCCTTATTATCACAGAACAAATATGTATCAAGTACCTACCACTGTCTGAATTAAGGCATTATGAGGAAAAAAAGAAGACACAGGTCCCTATCTCCAAAAGATTATAATCCAGGTGGAGCCATAAGATAACACTGCCAGGCAATAAAGAACTGATATGTGGTGCAGTCAAAAAGCGATGTCAGTTTCTCATGCCCCTGCCCTCCTCGTCTTGGGCTCCTCTATCAATAAAAATCTTGTCCAGTCTTCAGGGCTTTTACCTCCAAAGTCTCACCTCCTCCTTAAGTTCTTCACCAGCACTTCTACTGGGCACATTCTGATCTCTGGCTTCTCGAGAACCCTGCACCAATTATAAGTCTTATCACACGGTCTGGTGCTTAATTAAATACGATCTAAGTGCCTGAGAACTGGGGCTAGCTAAGGACCAGGGGGAAAGAGAAATTCGCAAGGGCCAGTGTCTTCTACACAAAGAAAAAATACACACAAAATTTAAAAGGCAAAAGATGTTTACTCTACTAGCACTTAAAACAAAAGATACTTTTCCATAGTAAAGAGAATTCCCAAATGATAAAGCATACCAATTCAAGCCTTTCACTGCAAAGCTATTAACGGAGATGATTCCAATCTTTAACTTCAGCTTCTAAAAAAAATTCTCACTTACCCATGAGACTTACAGATGTCAGTCATTTTCTCTTTGGTTGTAAAATCTGCAGGTAGTTTAATGAGATGTAGCATCAGCTGACTGTAGCCCCACGAAGACAAGTGTGAATGAGGCCTGTGAAGTAAAAAGCTCTCAGTAAATGGAATAGGAAATACATTCTACAAAATGTTTATTCATTATCTAATAGATAAGAACAGAGTTTAATTTTACTTGTTCCATTACTATTGTATTTTTCAAACATTTCTACTTGGCTTTTGAAAAATTAAAAATAGCTATTTTTTTCTGTACAAATACCTATTTATTTTTTCCTAAGTTTTATTCTTTTTAAAAAATTTTTGTATGTATATCGGTCACTGACAGGTTTTATTTCCTAATTGTTCTGTAACTACATTCATCTAATTATATATAAATCTCGTTATACTTTTTCTCTCACTGTATTCCACTCATCCGAATTTTGGGTAACAATTCCTCTTTAGTTTCTGGTCATAAATCCTGGATAGGATCAGCTCTGTAAAAAAGCTAAAGGCAGCTAACTATATTTCTATGACATGGAAGGCACTAAACACTTTTATAGGACAAAGGCTTTATCACTAGTCTACTGTGGTACTTAAAATTTTGCTGTGGTTCTGCAAATATTTGGTGCTTGCTTGGTTAGATGTCTTTAAAGTTTTGGGGATAGTCTGCTGGTTGATTGAGGTTACTAATCATAATATTCAAATATGTAATTTTAATTTATGCCAACTCTGTTTCTCCAGTAAAATCAATTACCTATTTTTAAAAATTAGACATTTTTAATTATTCAAAAGCAAAAGAAAGAAGGCTATAATTCATCACTCACAGACAGCCACTGTATGTCATTCTAGACCTTTTGTCTAGGCATATAAGATAGGCACTTAGGGGGCTTTTTAAAAGCTTCTGCTAGGGGCTCCTGGGTGGCTCAGTGGGTTAAAGCCTCTGCCTTTGGCTCAGGTCATGATCCCAGGGTCTTGGGATCAAGCCCTACATTGGGCTCTTTGCTCAGCAGGGAGCCTGCTTGCCTGCCTCTCTGTCTACTTGTGATCTCTCTCTGTCAAATAAATAAATAAAAATCTTAAAAAAAAAAAAAAAGCTTCTGCTAGAGGAAAACACAAGGAACATTTCTAATATATTACATGTACCAATGCATATTTTTTTATGAATAGTTATTTTTTCTTAGTCCCAAATCAAGCTATGTCTAGAAATTTCCAGTATGAAAACATGCAATTTTTTCCCCTCTAATATAGACTGAATCCTCAAAGACTCTTAATATAGATCCATAAAAGGGCTTCAGTTCAGATGGTCAGTTTAACCTGAAATCATGTGCAAAATTTTGCAGAGATGTGCATTTTTCTGAAAGGAATCATCAGATCCTTGTAAGATCTATAACTCAAAAAATGTTCAGAACCACTAAGAAATACAATCTCATTACTATCATGACTTGAGTCAGTCTCTTCCATAGCTCTCCCTGACGAAAGCCCAGAATGCTGTATGTGACTAGTCATTCCATTCCAGAAGAAAATCAGAGCTTAGAAAGATAACTTTTGTACCTAGGGTTTCCTTCATCGTCCATCATGCTTGTGCTTGGGGGAGCATCGTGGGACATGGCCAAAAGCAGCCAATCCAATCTCAAAGACTCTGGTTGTAGAAGGGACTCAAGGAAGGATGGCCTAAAAGAAAGTTGGGGACAAAATCACCAATCTTCACACTGAGAAAGGAGACATAAAATGTGGGAATGTGAAGAAAATGTTATTAGGGGATAAAAATAGTAGATGAAAATGCTCTGCTACAAAATGTCTAGAAATGCAGGTGAAAATATGACAGCCTTTTAAATGAACAGGTGGGTTCAAGATAATAAAGAAAATGTCCAAGGGCCCAAAAAAAAAAAAAAAAAAAAGAGAAATAAGGCTAGTATGGCACATGTAAATTAATCAGAGGATAAAAGAGGGTGATGGGGGGGGGCTGTTGCTAGTTTCAACAACCAAGGGCCATGTGGAAATAGGAAATGAGACCTCGATCTAAAAAAAGGGATAAAGAACTGGAACTGAGATCCACAAAAAGATGAGATCCCACAAAAGCTGGGATATTATCAGTAAAGAGGTGGCAACAAATGCACTCACCAGCCCTGACAACAAAGAAGCTTATCTGCCCTAGCAGAGGACCAGAAGCAGGGCTTTAATTTTATACTAAGAATAAAATCACCTTATTGGTCACCTGAGAATCCCTGAGCAGGGAGGAAGAGAAGCGTAGTCTGCGCACATTTATGGTGTGTGCGATGGACTGTGACAGAAAGGTAATGACTACAATCACCCTCTTTCATGGTAGGGGCCTCAGCTCTGTGGCAGTTGGCAGTAAAAACATTACAATGGCTTCTACAAGGGAAACAATATCCCATCAATGCAAAGGGGAATCTGCAAATGTTCTCGCCTTCTCACCATTGATCTTCAGGCCTTGATTTCACCAGACCGTCTAAGTAGGCCAAAAACTGACCAGGATGATGATGACAAAGTTGCATGACATCCGAAGGCAAAATAGATGGGTAAAATCTGATTAAGGACCGAAGGGCAGATTCTCCAAACCTCTCATACAATCTGCATTTAAAAACAAAACAAGTTAAGTCTCCAACTTCAACCGGATGATGTAACTTGGTTACATCATCTAAGCACTTATGAGAAATAAAAATAACAAGAAATTGCCCACCAGGCAACTGAGTAAAACTTTAGAGATTAAGACACAAACAAAAAAATATGTGCTTTATTCATATAAACAACATACATGACAACTTACCGGGTAGCATGAGCAATCAACAAAGGACTGTCAAAGGGGACTGAGTCATTCAATAACTTTATTCTTGTTGGTAGGTCTCCTTCTTCCATCTGTATATATGTAGGATTAGAACTTGCCATTTCTGAAAGATAAAGCACACCCTTTTCCTTTCATCTCATAGCTGTTGAGTATTCAGTTCAACACAATAAACTCACTCATTCAACAATCATTAGTCATGGACCTACTGGGTGCATGGCACAATGCTTAAGCACTGAAGGACTGACAAAAAAGAATAAGACACAAAGCCTACTTTTAAAGACCTTAAGATCAGGGGCACGTGGGTGGCTCAGTGGGTTAAGCCTCTGCCTTCGGCTTGGTCATAATCTCAGGGTCCTGGGATCGAGCCCCACATCGAGCCCCACATCGGGCTCTCTGCTCAGCCAGGAGCCTATTTCCCCGCCCTCCACAGCCTGCCTCTCTTGCCTACTTGTGATCTCTAATAAGTAAATAAAATTAAAAAAAAAAAATAAAGACCTTAAAATCAAACTGGGAGGCAAAGCACATTGCAATTTTTAAATAAGAACATATAAGCAATAATATCAGCCACTATCACCCTCAAATAAGGATAACATATATTAGTGTATATATGTTATATACTAAATCAACAGTGTGTGTGTGTCTAACATATATATGTTATATATCTACCATCAAGGCCAAATTTCTCATTTTTCCTAGAACCAGTGCCCGCGCTCGAACTTTTTGGACAAAATAAATTAACTTAAAATTTCACCTATTTTTAATAACCATCCATTATAGCCAGGTCATTTAAAGAAAAGCGTGAGTTATGACCTAGCTAAACTACTTGTAGTTTAAAAATACACACACACACACACACACACACACACACACACAAACACACGCACACACGAATCTAAGGTGAGGACTTTTAAAAAAAGATTTTAAAAAGATTTTAAAGTTGGGTGTAATCTCTACACCCAACGTGCGGCTCAAACTTAGAATCCAGAGATCAAGAGTTTTGAGTTTCATGTTCCACTGACTGAGCCAGCCAGGAGCCTCTGAAATGAGTTTTTCGAAGTAGTTTTCACCTGGCTCTGAAAACAAATCCCCAAGAACAGCTCCAAAAGCTGCTTTCCTTAATTATATCACTAGCAAAAGGGTGGAACCTGTTCACATCCTCTCTGAAAACCAGACCTTCCATTTCTGATACATGGGTTTTTTAAAATCATTTTTTCCACAGTTTCATTATTGTCTATATGACTGTGTCAGGCAGTAAGTACTTGGACAAATTCAAAGAAGGCAGCCAGCATTTAGAGCTGGAGATGAGAGGGCAAGCTTTATAACTGGGTGGGGGCTAAGCCAAACGTCTCCCCCTGAAGTCAAGCAAGCAGCTGCATCACCTCAAAGCACCCAACCCACTGGCTCTCTCCAGCTCTGGTAATAAGTTAACCACCACTCAGGCTGATGAGACTCTCTTCAGGGTTGAGTATGATCACATAAGAGACAGATATTGCAAAGTTCCGCTAAGTAATAACACGAAACATTTGAACCTACTGGAAGAGAAATAAATTTTCTTATTTAACATAAAAGTCTACCTCAACTCAGAGAAAGAAACTGAAATCATTTTGTATGCTGTTAACTCTTAAATGTGAACTGAAGCAGAACAATAACCACAGATCATGTTTCTGGAAAACCAGAAGGTCTTTAAGTTTATAAAGACAATATAAAAATCTATAGGTACTTGTGATTGTCAGCTTTTGGTAATGAATGAAAGGTGTGTTTCCAGTCTAAATCAATTATTCCAAAACATGGGACCGTACAGTGGAAAGAGCATACATGGTCTGAGATACGAAAGCTGGTTTCCACAGGAGGATGACACACACTTTGTCAAGTGTGAAATGGAGACTGCTACCTGTCCACCAAAATCCCTGAAGCAGAAAGACAAGCTATTAGCCCCTACCATTCCTTTCTTTCTAGACACCTGGACAGCTTACATTTCCCACTCTCCTTCGCGGGTAGGGAAACCATGTGATAGAATTCTCACCAGTGGGACATAAAACACAAGATGTCAGGCACTACAAGATCAGGCCTCTAAGAGGGCACAGCATGTCTGCCCCTTCCACATGCATTCCCTGGGACATGGCAATCCATCCTCAATCACAAGCCCAAAGGAAGACAGAGTTCAAAGAAATGGAAGAAACTTTGAACCCTGGACTACCCACATGGAAGAGAGCTTCCCACTCGCCTGGAACCTGTCCTGGAGTGACAGGAGCAAGAAATAAACTTCTACTGTATCTGAGTTATTAGGAGATATTTCCTCAGCAATTCAGCCTACTCAACTATTACAATCTCTCTCTACCTCCGTTTCTTCCCCCGTTAAATGGAATAACACCATCTACTCTGAAGACATTTGTAAGGAAGAAATGAGATGATGCCTATTGAAATATTTATACCTGACACACAGTAAGTACTCAATAAATGACATAGATTATCTCTGCATTAGTAAGTTACATAAAGGATTTTGTTTTTCTATTTACACATTTATAAAACATTTTACGGTAAACCCAACTTCTTCAACACTGCTATGTACATTTTTTGAGTATGACTGAGCGTGAAATAAAATGAATTTCTTATAATACCATTGCAAATGAAGTCAATGTTTGAAGAACTATTAAAAATTAAATTGAGGGGTGCCTGGGTGGCTCAGTGGTTAAAGCCTCTGCCTTCGGCTCAGGTCGTGATCTCAGGGTCCTGGGATCGAGTCCTACATCGGGCTCTCGGCTCAGTGGGGAGCCTGCCTCCTCCTCCTCTCTCTCTCTGCCTGCCTCTCTGCCTACTTGTGATCTGTCTGTCAAATAAATAAAAAAAAAAATCTTTAAAAAAAAATTAAATTGAGTGGGAAACAGAGGGGTTGGCCAGAATAGAAGTGATTTTGTACTTCACTCTTTTTCTTTAAATGTGAACATGCTGGGGCACCTGGGTGGCTCAGGTCATGATCTCAGGGTCCTGGGATCGAGCCCCGCATCGGGCTCTCTGCTCAGCAGGGAGCCTGCTTCCCCCTCTCTCTCTGCCTGCCTCTCTGCCTACTTGTGATCTCTCTGTCAAATAAATAAATAAAATCTTAAAAAAAAAAAATGTGAACATGCAAAGATGCTATTGTGCTCTGTACTAATTTCTATTTGATAAGGCAATCTGATTATTACCTTTCAGTCCTTCAATAAAAGTATCCCAAACACAAGGACTGTTAGCGTAACTAAGCTTGATACTCTCCTTTGCTCTTTTCAAGTCCAGGAGAAAAAAATACTTCTTTATGAACTGGCAAGCCAGACTGTGAGGACAGTACTGTTGCGAAGTGTGGTCCACATGTCCACTTGTGCTTTTGGTCTCAGGATTCAATACATTCAATTCCAAACACAACGTTGTCAATTCAGCCAGGTCCTTCTGAAGACAGCTGGCTATGCTGCACGGAGAACATACTTGGATAAGGTCATCCAAGGGCTCCCTCGGACTATTTGTAGATTCACACGCTGTGGGATCAACAGTTTCTTCACTGCCTAAAGAGTCCCCCTTTTCTTTTTCACGGTCTTCATCTAACATTTCCTTTTCTGACTCTTCAAATGACAGCATATCCTGGTTTGATGTCATGGATGAGTTGCCAGTATCTGAAATAACTGTGAAGTCCTTCGTGGCAAACATTTTTTCTAACTGCGAGAGCCACTCCTGTAAGATCATCCTCAGAGACGTGGGTTCAAACAAAACCAGTGGGTCCTCTAGCTTGGTCCTGTGCGAGACAGACAAATATGAAATTTATGCTCCATGTGTTTTTTATATATTTTTAAAGATTTTATTTATTTATTTGACACAGAGAGATCACAAGTAGGCAGAGAGGCAGGGAGAGGGAGAAGCAGGTTCCCCACTGAGCAGAGAGCCTGACGTGGGCTTGTTCCCAGGACCCTGAAATCATGACCCAACCTGAAGGCAGATGCCCAGCTGAGCCACCCAGGCATCCCACGCTCCATGTGTTTTTTTTAAAACACATTATTTCATGCTAAACAAACCTACTGGATGAAACATTTCTTGGGAATAAATGTTACTTTTCAACTCTTCAACAATTATCTCAGCAAGATGACAATACAGAGAGTGCTAACTTTAATACTAATTGTTGAATTTCAATTGCAAATGAGACTACCTCTGCCCCACACTGTCTCAGGACCACTACTGATGACCTGGAAGTCATTCCCATTCATTAGAAAACTCTCTCATTCGTAAATACTCACATTGCTTCTGCTGTTGCTACTTTGAGCTCTTGGAGCTTGTCTTCTTCCAGAGGTTGACTAATTACTTCTTTTTTGTCCCTAGAAAAGTATGAAAAGAGGAGGGGATTAGCGCATCCTTAAACAAATGTTTCTAAGTGCTTACTAAGTGGCAAGTATTGTACTTAATATTAATATTACAGGACACAAACAGAGAAGTATTAAAAAATGGTCTATGGCTTCAAGATGAGTAAGGTTTAGTGAGAAAGGTATGCAAACAACTAACTACAAATGAGAATAAAGCAAATCCGAAAGAGCAACACAAACATTGTGCTATTAACGCACAATGAAAGCAATTATTATTCTGAGGAGGCAATCAAAGGATGCCTTCCCCTGGAGGCAGTGTGTGAGTTCAGAAGAATAATGGGGGTGGGGAGGGAGGATAGTGCAGGCGAAAGAAAGAAAGGCAGTGAAGTATCCCCACCCAGCGCTCTGACAGGACTGGAATTTACAGCACTTGGAAGGATGTGGCTGGAAATGAGGCTGGAAAGGGGGGGCTAAGGTCACACTGAGGGCTCCTTTCAAGGCCACAGCTATACTTGTAGTGTTTTTCCGATATATACATGGATTCGCCAAACTCTTCTGTTTCATCTGACTGTCTACATACACTGGGCCTGTGGGCTCTCAATCCCTGGGTAAGTGCTGAGCCTGCACGCTTCTAATGCTCAGATCCCCTGAATTATGTGTTAAGGCAGAGACCAGATGGACACACTTCACACTGTGCCAGAGCAAGGGCTCTGCTACAACTCCATTCATAAGGAAGACGCCACCAGCATACCCTAAGAAGGTTCATGACAAGACCAAAATGCAGTACAGGCCAGAGAGCATTAGTGACTTACCCAAGGTCACATACCAGTCAGAAGCACAGGGTCTTAATCATTGGTCATCCTCTTAATCTAATACTCTAACATCCCAGAAGTTTGAAGAGATTTGGAGGGAGGGAGTTTATGCAGGGCAAAGATGAAAGAGGGGCTAAATTAAAACTCTCTCAAAAGATGTGCTATGGAGAGGGTGCCTAGGTGGCTGAGTCAGCTGAGCACCTGCCTTCAGCTTGGGTCATGTTCCCAGGGTCCTGGGATGGAGCCCCGCATCAGCCTCCTTGTTCTACAGGGAGCCTGCTTCTCCCTCTCACTCTGCCTGTCTCTCTCCCTTCTTGTGCACCCCCCACCCCATGTCAAATAAATAAATAAAACCTTTAAAAAACAAAAAAAAGTTTTGCTACGGATACATGTCATTTTCTAACACTTACTTAATGGTATTCACATTTTTTATGAGCTACACAATCTATAATGAACAGGGTTATATGTGTACCTTCTCCAATAGTACAGAGTCTAAGCCTTTCTTGAAAATGACAGCTGAGTCCTCTAGAATTTACCCAGATATATATGCAAGAGCTTACTCAGTGTCGTCTTCCTTTGGGCAGGTGACTGGACTCATCTCCTCTTCACATAACTGTTCCTCACCTCTGGGTTCTGGTCTTATTTTCAGATCAGGGCTTGTATGAAGGGTGCCAATCTTCTCGGTAGTTTTACGTACAAAACTAGAAACACTGGAAGTCAAATACCAAAAAACTAATATGAAAAAAACCTCTTTACTCCCCAAAACAAAAAATTCAGTACCTGAGTGCTCTGTTCCTGTTAGTCCTAGAAAGGCAATCTGGACTTAATAAAAAGAAAGACTATGCTTATAGTAACTTCCCTAATCAACCACAAATTTCATATAAGGCCCACATAAAATTTACAGTATAGTAAGGAGTCACTTCATTTACTAAACTGCTTTGATTTGGTGCTAAAGGAAACGTCTTTAACTCCAGCTATGTCTACACGGTTTCTGTCAACTTAGGCAAAGGAGGCCATGTGATCACCTGCCCCATTCTGGCCAGAGAACTAATAGAATTTCTCCATGAGACTCAGTGGCTAACTAGTCACAACATATCCTCCAAGGATAAGCAAAACTGCAGCTGGTAACTGAATCACTACATTATACATCTGAAACTAATAGGACACTGTATGTTAATTATACTAGAATTAAAGTTAAAATTAAAAAACAAAAAAACATAAAATTGTATCCAGGGAGACTCAGATAAGCAGTTAAGAAGCTTTAAAAAATTGGGCGCCTGGGTGGCTCAGTGGGTTAAAGCCTCTGCCTTAGGCTCAGGTCATGATCTCAGGGTCCTGGGATCAAGGCCCGCGTCGGGCTCTCTGCTCAGCAGGGAGCCTGCTTTCTCCTCTCTCTCTATGCCTGCCTCTCTGCCTACTTGTGATCTCTCCCTCTCTGTTTCAAATAAATAAATAAAATCTTAAAAAAAAAAAAAAAAAAAAAGAAGCTTTACAAAATCTTTTCTCTCAAACTCAAGTGCCAATTCTTGGCCCATAGTGTAGTGAGAAAGACTTCCAAAGAGTCTCCAATTCTGAGCCTAAACCGAGAAAGGATCAAGAGATGAAAAACGATATATGGAAACTGTTCCTATCAGGGAAAAGGAAAACAGATTTTTCAAACTTTTGCTCTGTCTCTTGGGTGGAGAGCACATTTTAAAACAACTCAAACATCCAACTACTCAAAGAGGAAAGCTACATTGCCCAAGATGGAAATGAGAAGTTAATAGCCTCGATAAGAGTTTATATGAGAAATAATCTAGAGACTTTGTTTTTTTTTCTCATTGAAAATGTCTTTCCAGGTGCACCTGGGTGGTTCAGTCGGTTAACCATCAGCCTTCTTCTTGGTTCAAAATCCCAGGGTCCTGGGACCAAGCTCCTAGTCTTTGCATAGGTATCAGGCTCCCTGCTCAGCAGGGAGTCTGCTTCTCCATCTACCTCTGCCCCTCCACTTGTACCCCCCACCCCATACCACTCCCACTCCCAGCTCTCTCTCACTCACGTGCATTCTCTCTCTCAAATAAATAAAACCCTTTTTAAAAATAAATTAATTAATTTAAAAAATGTCTTTTCATTCTCAGCACAAAAGCACCTAACATAACAACTGAAGGGAAGAAACGGGATTCTGTGACAGGACTAACGTACCTTTCCTTGACAGCCTGAAGAGACACAAGAGGAGATGGAGAACGAAATGAAAGCGGAATGCTGAAGGGGAGAAAAGTTTCATTCTTATCTGTCTCAGATGTCCCAGGAACATGGGAAACACTGTCTGATAATGAAATGGGGGGGACAAGGAAACAAAATTTAATCACTTAATCATTTTAATCTTTAAAAAAATTTCTGAAATGAATAAACCAAAGGAAATGAAAGTTTCCATACCAAATCACAACTGACCCAGATACAAATGAGCAGAACACAAGTTTACAAGATGCATGGGATGGTCCACATATAAAACACTTAGGCAGGTACCTTCATTTTCCTACTAACCCTGAATCCCCATAAGTCAAAAAGGAAGGTTTACAGTCTCTATTATCTCTTCTCAACAGTTCAGTCACAGGAATATTCGAACATCGAAAAGTGAAGGCAATGGCCCCCAAAACTGTAGTAATTTTTCATTCCTGATGGAAAATAATTTGGTTAGTCAAGATAAAACTGTTCTACTCCATTGGTTAATGACCTTCTTTCTTAACTTTTCCAGGACTCTGACTCATGATCAAAATTAGGGACTGTATCAACATTAACCTAAACAGGAGGGGGGGAAAACACAACTAAACATAAACCCATTCTTCCAGTGGCAAGTAGATTTACATGGAAAGTCTATCAACATAATAAAAATTATTAACTCCACACAGAAAACTTGATGCACAAGTTAATCCTGGCAAATAGAAGTCACAGAAAATAACTGCTTCCTGTTGGCAACCAACAGAACACGTCATCATTACCTTCATTTCCGTGTGAGCCCCAACACTGATCTGGTGGGTCCTCTTCTTGATGTGAGGCAAATTCTTTGAGTCTCTCATCTTCTGAGAGGGTTTGGCTATGAAGCGAACAAGAATCTTCATCTGACTGACTGCCTCTTCTACTGCTAATGATACGATAAATACCAGAGTCCAAGATGCTGAAACTTTCCTAAAAATAAGAAGAACCCCCAAAAAATCAAAGTGAAACTTTACTTTTTAACACAAAAATGGTTTTTTAAGAGAACAACCAACACAAATAGGTAGCAAGTCAGTAACAATGATAGGTTGTTTTTTTTAAGATTTTATTTATTTGACACAGACAGAGAGAGATCACAAGTAGGCAGAGAGGCAGGCAGAGAGGGAGGGGGAAGCAGGCTCCCCGCTGAGCAGAGAGCCCGATGCGGGGCTCAGACCCAGGACCCTGAGATCATGACCTGAGCTAAAGGCAGATGCCCAACGACTGAGGCACCCAGGCACCCCAACAATTTTGGTTTAAAAGAACCAGCTGGCGAGCAAGGTTTAGGTCCCTGGCCGCTGGGTCACACTCACACACTGCCATGTTTCCCTAGCTTGCCTCCATGAATCCCAGCAGTGAGAACGGGGCTGCAGGGACATAACCCTGAACTGCACTATGACTCCAATTACTATAAATCATCACAGATTAGGAGCAACTGAACTTGTACTGGAGGCTATAGGAGGTACGTCGGGAAACAGAATATAATAAATAAATGATGATGAAACAAAATGTGGCTCCAACACACACCTAAATGGGCGCTTCATGAGGGCCACCCAACAACTGAAAGAAAGCCTCGTCTTGGCACCCCTCCCCCCACCCCAAATCTACTATATGGAAAGGAAGATAAGCTCTGGGATCTGAAGAGATATGTGTGTACAACTTAAGGAAGAGAAACCTTACTGTGCAGATAGACCTTTTTTTTTTTTTTTAATATTTTATTTATCCATTTGACAGAGAGAGAGATCACAAGTAGGCAGAGAGGCAGACAGAGAGAGAGGGGGAAGCAGGCTTCTTGCTGAGCAGAGAGCCCAATGCAGGGCTTGATCCCAGGACCCTGAGATCATAACCCTGGCCGAAGGCAGAGGCTTAACCCACTGAGCCACCCAGGTGCCCCGCAGATAGACCTTCTAAAAAGTAAAAATACCTACATGTGACGAAATGGAGCTTCTTCTACTGCTGCAAGCTGAATCCAAAGGCTCGAATTTTAAGATCAATTCTTCCAGCTGAGAAATAAGATCACTGTAGGTTGCGACGTCCAGCTGAGACTTCAAATGCTCCAATTTATCTACAGTCAAAGATTTTCTTCCCTAGTGAAAGGGTAAGCAGAAACCAAATAGAACAGCTTACTACTTATAACTAAATCTAAATTCAATGGCCAATATACTGAAAAATGTCTAACAGAGACCATAAAACCTCAAAGGTGCTTTAAAAAGGTTTAATAAGCTCAAGAAAGACTTAATGGGAATTATCTTAGGAATTAAGAATTAACACAATCAACCCCCTTAAAACAAGGCCTGAAATTCAACTAAGTTTCTGAGAAAATGCAATTTTTTTTTCTTCAGTGGGAAGTATACCCTTTTTCTTACCCACCACCCACCTCTAGATTTGTCTGGCAAGACTCCATTAGGGATTTATTGCTGCTTCATCTGTAGGTCATACAGACAGGGCTAATGAAGACAGGCAACTTTGCAGCCCACTCCTGCAAACTAGTGCGGTTCCAACAACCCAGGTGAACAGGTAAGCACTCTGACTCACTCTGCCGGCAATAAGAGAATTTTGGAAAAGACAGCAAGTGCGAGCAGCCAGGTTCCACAGGCCTCTCCTCAGCAGGCGTTCCACACAGCGTTCCACAGACAACAGAGAAAGATGTGAGACTTTCCCATTGAGGTGCAGACAGAAGAGCTCATTCTTGCAGACAGCTATATCCTGAATATCTACAAAACCCACAGGGGTGAACACACAGGTTAACCACATACTCCTTCTCCATGTTGGTAAGGACGGAAATTATTCTAATAAATTCATTTTTTATATTGAGTTTGGCTTGCCTGAATTTCATTGCTATTATACTTGCAATTCAATGAAGAAATATTTTAGACACTTCTAGAAAGATCAAAAACAAAAACACATCTCTCTTCTCTAAAATTCTATGTGAAAGATGCTACTTTCTAAACAAAACAAATGAGCAAAGGAAAAAGAGAAAGAAACCAAGAAACAGACTCTTAACTACAGAGAACAAACTGATGGTCACCAGAAGGGAGGGTGGTGGGGGGATGGGAGAAATGGGTGGTGGGGATTGAGGAGGGCAATTGTCGTGGTGAGCACAGGGTGATGTACAGAACTGCTGAACCACTATATTGTACAGCTGAAACTAAGATTAAACTGCTTGTTAACTCTACCGGAATTAAAAATAGTAATGGTATGATTTTGCTTACTTGTGGAGCATAAGGAATAACACGGAGGGTATTGGGAGAAGGAGAGGAGAAGCGAGTTGGGGGAAATCAGAGGGAGAGACAAACCATGAGAGACTGTGGACTCTAAGAAACAAACTGAGGGTTTTGGAGGGGTAGGGGGTTGGGGGCTGGGTGAGCCTGGTGGAGGGTATTAAGGAAGGCATGTATTGCATGGAGCACTGGGTGTGGTGCATAAACAATGAATGCTGGAACACTGAAAAGAAATAAAATAAAATAAATGGAAAAAAAATAGTAATGGTAAAATAAAATAAGTAAAATAAAATGCTACTTTCTGTGAAAAGAAATTGGGGCTTTAAGAGAGCATTCGACATCAGAGACCAGATGACAACATTTCTGAGTTACAATCTGATGGAAACAGATTTTAACACAGTACATAAATCAACAGTTCATGAGAAAATACCTATCTTGGCAGAACATCATGAAAGGAGTTAAAAAACTAGTTTTTGATCTCACTTATAGGTGCAACCTGAAAAAGTAGGACAAGTAGAAGCAGAGAAGAATGGTGAAAACCAGGGACTGGAGGGGTGGGGGATATTGGTTAAGGGGTACAAACTTGCAATTAGCTGACAAGTTCTAGAGATCTAACGCACAGCATTGTGATTACAGTTCATAATACTGTACCATATATTGCAAAATTGCTAAGCGACTAGATCTTAAAAGTTCTCATCACAAAAGACAGTAATCATATTGCAATATAAAGCTGATCCTTGAACAACATGGGTTTGAACTGCACGGGTCCATGGATATACGAATTTTTTCAATTAATATGGTATAGTCAATGTATTTGCTCTTTCTTATGATTTTCTTAATAATGTTCTCTTCTCTAGCTTTCTTTCTTGTAAGAATATAGCAAATAATACATATAATATATAAAGAATGTTACTCAACTGTTGATGTTACCAGCAAGGCTTTGGGTCAACACCAGGTTATTAGTAGTTAGGTTTTGGGGGAGTCAAAAGTTACATGCAGGTTTTCGACTGCGCAGGACCCGGGTCTGTGCCCCTTAAGTCCCACATTGTTCAAGGGTTAACTATATAACTGTATCAAATCAAAACTTTGTATACACCTTAAACTCACACAGTGTGTATGTCCATTTTTAAAAAACAATCTTGTTTTTGAGGGACAACCTTAGCAACTTAAACTACAAGAAATCAGTATTAATCAGATCAGGAAGTAAGGGTTCCTCTTTCTTATATTTCTGCAATAGAAAATGATTCCAGAAAGATATACTGAGTAGCAATGCTAATGATGCAAGATTTCTTCCATTTTTGGTTTAAACTAAAAAAAACAACAACAAATGTTAGTCCCACAAGGAATTCTTTTTTTTTTTTTAACATTTTATTTACTTGCACAAGCAGGGGGAGCTGCAAGAAGAGGGAGAGGGAAGCCCGATGCAGAGCTCGATCCCAGAACCCTGGGATCAGGACCTGAGCAGAAAGCAGACACTTAACTGACTGAACCACCCAGGTGCCCCCCTCCACAAGGATTCTGAACCCCAAACTATTAAGACACAAAATGGAAGCAAAAGCAAGACTTCTAATGCGGATAAAGATACGGGGTAATTAGAAGGAAAAAATTAACCCACTCAATCTTTAGCAGTGGTTACTAATATTTAAGAATAAGTGAAAATTATATTTTAAATTATCCATGAAGGGGTGCCTGGGGGAGGCTCAGTCGCTTAGCAGCTGAGTCTTCAGCTCAGGTCTTGATCTCAGCAGGGTTCTGAGTTCAAGTCCCATGTTGGGCTCTGTCCATGGAGCCTACTTAAAAAAATAAATAAATAAAAAATAAAATTATCCATGAAAAACTGAATAACTGAACATAAATTCCCAAGTATATGCTTGGGAAATACATTACAATGGAAAACATCGGGGCGCCTGGGTGGCTCAGTGGGTTAAAGCCTCTGCCTTCGGCTCAGGTCATGATCCCAGTGTCCTGGGATCGAGCCCCACATCGGGCTCTCTGCTCTGCGGGGAGGCTGCTTCCTCCTCTCTCTCTCTGCCTGCCTCTCTCTGCCTACTTGTGATCTCTGTCTGTCAAATGAATAAATAAAATCTTTAAAAAAAAAAAAACAACAGAAAACATCTATGACATTAATCTTTATTTTTTAAAGACTTTTATTTATTTGAGAGAGAGCAAGTAAGAGAGAGAGAGCACGAGCAGGGTGAGGGGTAGAGGGAGAAGTAGACTCCCCACTATGTAGAGAGCCTGACATGGGGCTTGATCTTGGGACTCTGGGATCATGAACTAAGCCTAAGGCAGATGCTTAACTGACTGAGCCATCCAGGCACCCCTGACATTAATCTTTTTCTTTTTTTAAAGATTTTTATTTATTGATTTGACAGACAGAGATCACAAGTGCGCAGAGAGGCAGGCAGAGAGAGAGGAAAGGAAGCAGACTCCCTGCTGAGCAAGGAGCCCTGGGATTAGGACCTGAGCCAAAGGCAGAGGCTTTAACCCACTGAGCCACCCCCTGACATTAATCTTTAAGAGAAACACCACCTCAGTCTATTTTTCTACTTTTCACACTCCAAGAGAATTCTCTTAAGATCACTGAATCTTTCACAAGCAAGAGATTAAAATTTACATAAGGAAAGGGACACCTGGGTGTTTCAGTCTGGCTTCCTGCTCAGTGGAGAGCCTTCTCCCCCTGCCCCTCACCCCACTCATAGTCTTTCTCTCTCTCAAATAAGTAAATAAAATCTTTAAAAATAAAATAAAATAAATTACATAAGGAAGAAAAATGTAATTACCTTTGACTTCACTCCAGAGAAGAACCTGAACATTCTGAGGAAGGAAAACATAAATTCCTCTTTCTGTCCAAGTCAGCACACAGTGCTCACTACAAAAGAAAAGGGAAGAAGTTAAGAGAATTCTAGTTTGCTTGGATACAGAAATTTATGATCTAATTCCCTGAATTCAGATCCTCACATCAGCTATTAAAGGAAGACTGTAGAAAGAAGACACAACAGGGGTGCCTGGGTGGCTCAGTCATTAGGTGTCTGCCTTTGGCTCAGGTCCTGATCCCAGGGTCCTGAGATCGAGTCCCACATCGGGCTCCCTGCTCTGCGGGAAGCCTGCTTCTCCCTCTCCCACTCCCCCTCCTTGTGTTCCCTCTCTGGCTGTCAATCTCTCTGTCAAATAAATAAATAAAACATCTAAAAAAAAAAAAAAAGAAAGAAAGAAAAGAAAATACAACAGTGATCCAGTTAGTCAAGTCATAACACCTAACAAGAGTCCTTTAAAAAATAGCATAATATGGCACCAAACTGGGAAAAATTTAGATACATACACTAAAAACCTTCTAAAAAAAGGGCGCCTGGGTGGCTCAGTGGGTTAAGCCGCTGCCTTTGGCTCAGGTCATGATCTCAGGGTCCTGGGATCGAGTCCCGCATCGGGCTCTCTGCTCAGCAGGGAGCCTGCTTCCCTCTCTCTCTCTCTGCCTGCCTCTCTGTCTACTTGTGATCTCCGTCTGTCAAATAAATAAATAAAATCTTTAAAAAAAAATAAAAAAAAATAAAAACCTTCTAAAAAAAGAAAAGGTTGGTATTTTACCTAATGTTTGTTAAAGCATCTACATTTCCCATCACTGGTATGAAAAGGGCACATTTAAAACAGACAACACACCACCACAAATCACTGCTCTAGTGAGCCACATATGGGGATGGTAATAGTTTGATGCCCTTAGTTGTATGCAGGCAATAAAAGTTTAAAAACTCCTCATCAACCATCTGCCAGAAGCTTTACCAAAGTCTCTATCTTAGCTAGTAGACACTCACCAAGACAGATGTGCTTTTCCCTATTTTATAAAAACAAAAAACCTGAAATTTGGAGAGATGAAATAATACACCCAAGCACAGTCTGGCTACAAGAGCTGGACTTTTTTCTCTACACCTCACAGAATCCTACTTCTTCCCTCACTTACCCTCAGTGACCCACCCACCAACTATTACCCAGAATCTGGACTACTTCACATAACTGCATTTTCATAAAGTCATAAATTTCCTAAGTGCCAAACCAAATGACCCTTCCTTATTTCCTTTCTTCTTGATGCTCAAGCAGGGGCCAGCCCTGCTGATTGTTCCTTCCTTCCTGAATCTCACCTCCCCGGACTCTAGGACACTGCACTTTCCTGGGCCAGCTTTTCCAGTCCTCTGGTACTCTCCATCTCTGCTCATCTCTTCGCATACCCCTTTGCTTGTATTTACTTGTATACTCTTTCTCAAGGCTGCTACTGTTTCTCAGATACCAATGGGTCATCTCTGCTTCTTCCCCTCAGTCAGGGCGTCCCAGCTTATAATGCTCACTCCAGCCGCCTCCCAAGGATCACAGAAGTGCTACTCCCCTCTGGGATCCTTCAAGAGCCCACGGCAACCGCTCTTCCTCCTGTGCTCACCCTACTTCCTGTCACCCGTGTCCATACAGTACTTAGTCATGTACTGTACTGCTGCAACCCTCACTTTGTGTCAAAATACCACATCTCCAACAAATTATAATCTTAAGAACAAGAACACTGAGGCGCCTGGGTGGCTCAGTTGGTTAAGCATCCGACTCTTGATTTTGGCTCAGATTGTGATATCGGGTCATGAAACTGAGCCATGTCACGCACCATGCTCAGCAAGGGGGATGGGGGAGGTTGGGGAGTGTCCTGCTTGAGATTCTCTCTCCCGCTCTGCCCCTCCTCCCAACTTGTGCTTGCACATGCACACTAATAAATAAATAAATTAGAAAAAAAAAACAAAAAAACAGGGACCTTTTTAAAATGTATACTCCCAAGAGTAATAAAAATGGTACTATGTGGCTATGAAACACCAGGAGTGATATTTAATAGGAACTGGGTCCTCACACAAATATTAAACATTTTGTCAATATAAGACCAGGTCACTGTCCCTATGAGAAAATAATATTTGACACAAAGATGGAAGAAATGGTCAGAATGCTAATCTAAAGGAAGAAAAACCAGAAAGTTACCTTCAGGAGCCAAAGAAGAAAAAAAAATAAGCCAAAGGATCCCTGAGTAGATAAACAAAATGATTTTGACACTAAACTTTGATACTCAGCTTTCTTAGGAAATCTTAGGAGGGGAGCTTAGGTAAGAGCTGATACTTTGCAATTTACACATCACTTATCCTCTTGTCCTTTCACTGATAATAAACAGACTAGGACACAGCCTAAGAGCACTGCAAGGCCAAGGAAGGGAAAGTAATACTGTTTACCCCAAAGAAAACAAAGTATATAAATTTGCTTCCTTTGGGATTTGTGGGTGTAATAGTAAAGGTTACCACTGGACACAAGTGTATAGGTAGGGGGAAAAAAAGAAACAGAAACAAAAAGCCTTTCTACTCATGTTTTTTTAAAAAATCTTCACTGAATTCTTTAACTGAGCTGTTATTTGAGAGACTTCTGTGTGCCTAAGACCAAGCCCAGAGCAAAGGAGTTGACAATCTGGTGCTGGGATTGATATTCACGGTACAGTGAAACAGGTGGTGACAGAGGAATCAACAAGGTGTGACAATAGTGCCTGGGAATAAGTGTCTAATCTCATCCTGCTGGAAGAGTCAGCAGAGGCTTCAAACCGGCATTAATTACTACTTAAACTGAGCAGTAGGCAGAGCCAGATCATCAAGGGCTTTGTATGCTACGGCAGAGACTATAACAGGAGCTTTAAATAGCTTAACTCAAAGAACAACTCTACCAGGAGAACCGAGTGACTGTGGCCTTGCCGTTAGAAAACATACTCTTGGGAAAAGGGCTTCCTCACCAATCACACCACAGTCAGTCCACGTCTGTCATGTGCCAGAGGCTAGGCCAAGCGCTGAGAATATAATGAACAAAACAGACACACAGCACTTACTAAGAGTAAAACAAGCATAAATGTTGTATGAATATGTAATCATAAGTCATAATAAGTGCCATAAAGGAAGAGGGATTTTTTGGTCTTTTAATTTTTATTTATTTATTTATTAAATATATATATATATTTTTAATTTATTTGACAGACAGATCACAAGTAGGCAGAAGAGGCAGGCAGAGAGAGACAGGAGGAGGAGGCAGACTCCCTGAGCAGAGAGCCCAATGCGGGACTCAATCCCAGGACCCTGAGATCATGACCTGAGCCAAAGGCAGAGGCTTTAACCACTGAGCCACCTAGGCACCCCTTTTGGTCTTTTTAAAAGATTTTATTTATTTATCTGACAGAGAGAGAGCACAAGTAGGCAGAGTGGCAGGCAGAGGGACAGGGAGAAGTAAGATCCCTGCTGAGCAGGGAGCCCAGGACCCTGGGATCATGACCCGAGCAGAAGGCAGACGCCCAACCAACTGAGCCACCCAGGAGCCCCAGGAAGAGTTTTTAATATGCTTTATCCAATCATGAACAAACAGTCATCTTTTCTCAGTAATTTTCAGGGTGAATTAGGAATATGTTAAAGTGTTTACAATTTAATTTTAAAATATACCAGTATAGGAAGTATGACATATACATACATCAGGGGCAATTAGTTAACATTTCAAGAGTATTTTTTTTTATCACATTATAAGAGCAGTTAGTTAGCCTTTGATGAAAGAACCCAATCAGACTATTCTATAAAACCTCTAAATAACATTCTCTGAATCTGCATTAGAGATCTTATGCATTAACCTAAGGGATACTAGAAATAATATCCATCGATGAAATGAGTTCAAGACACATAGACTGGGTGGAAATTATAACACTGGCAGAACAAGGTGTAAGACTCAGCAAACCCAGCCTTTAGTGGCACTCTGTGCTGCCACTTAGTGGACTTTTGCACCTAATCCAACTGGAAGGCTAGGTGAACCCCAATGTTAGAATATGGCTGAATGTGGGGCACACAGGTGGCTCAATCAGTTAAGCATCTGCCTTGAGTTTGGGTCATGATCTCAGGGTCCTGGGATTGAGGCCCACATCCGGCTCTGCTCAGCAGGGGCTCTGCTTCTCCCTTGCACTCTCCCTCTGTGCTCTACCCCCCAAATAGATAAATAAACTCTTAAAAAAAAAGTTAGAATATGGCTGAATGTGCTTCAAGCAGATCTTTCATGCAAGGTACTTGTCAGAGCACCTAAAGGACACAGAGCTGAAAGTTTACCAAGCTTAGAAGAAAAAGTTCTATAATTAGGTTTGTGCCTACCTGCTAAAAAACATATCTATGTGTGGCTGACTTCAGTCTGAGACTTGCTTTCATTGTAACCTCCCAGCAGAAAGGAGAGATTATGAAAGAAAGAGTATCAACAGTTCATAGCTCTAATTATCAGAAGTTCCCTGATAATTACAGACTGTCCAACTGGTTGAGATCAATTTGCAACACAAAAAAGCAACATACATCCATGATCTTTATATTCCTCTTATAACACTTCATGTAACATAGGCATTTCCTAAATTCTCAACAACAGTTAAATCCAAAAACCTTTTAAAAAGCTAACTGCCGGGGCGCCTGGGTGGCTCAATGGATTAAGCCTCTGCCTTTGACTCAGGTCATGATCCCGGGGTCCTGGGATTGAGCCCCTCGTCGGTCTCTCTGCTCAGCAGGAAGCCTGCTTCCCTCTCTCTCTTTGCCTGCCTCTCTGTCTACTTGTGATCTCTGTATGTCAATAAATAAATAAAATCTTTAAAAAAAAAAAAAGAAAGAAGGAAAGCTAACTGCCAGGGCGCCTGGATGGCTGAGTCAAACTGTCTGCCTTTGGCTCAGGTCACAATCCTGGGGTCCTGGGATGGAGCCATGCGTCAGCTCCCTGCTCAGTGGGGAGTCTGCTTCTCCCTCTGTCTCTCCCCCTGGTTGGTGCTCTCTCTCTCCCTCACTCTCTCTTAAACTCTCAAATAAATAAAATCTTTAAAAAAAAAAAAAAAAGCTAACAGCCTGTGAACATGCAGCAAAGAGAAAAAGTGTTCATTATTATTATTGTTTTTTTTTTTGAAAGCTCAAAAGGAGAAACTTACCTAATGTGCAAGAGTCTGGGGAAAGACAAAGATTGGGAGGACCCAACTGTATGATCATACTGAGGATCTGATCTAGGAAGTAAACAGTCTGTTAATGATTGAATCACAACATAAAAGTATCCTGTTCCCTACATAGGAAAAGTTTTGCTGCATCTAATTCATCTACCTTTATTCAATCTACTTCAATTATACCAAAGATAACTGGTTAGGACTTTTTGGTTTCTCTAAATCGTTAATAAAAATTCTACTTCAGGGGCACCTGGGTGGCTCAGTGGGTTAAAGCCTCTGCCTTCGGCTCAGGTCATGATCCCAGGGTCCTGGGATTGAGCCCTGGATCAGGCTCTCTGCTCAGTGGGGAGCCTGCTTCCCTTCCTCTCTGCCTACTTGTGATCTCTTTCCAAAAAAAAAAAATAATAATAATTCTACTTCACTCTTAGAAGGCATAATAAAATCTTTAACTAGATTTTATTCTAGATTAATCTAGAACATCAGAGATTTCAACCCAACTCCTACACGTAAATTCCTCAAATAGTCCCTACCAGCCACACAAATCATTACCTTAGGGTAATCACAGGGAGAGGTGGTGAAGAGAGGAGTTTCTTAAACTGATGTGTACTTATAACTTCCCCATCGAAGTTCACTTCCCACATCCTGGAGCCAGGGCGAGCACAATATATTAGGGGTTGCTGGCCCGCAGAACACCTTCCAGGGAAGAAACAAGCTCCGTATTCTCCATCTCTGTCCTTGCTTCCAATTCTCCAAAATTTTTCTCTGATTCCCAAAAAGGAAAAGAAAGCAAGTTTACTCATAAAAAAAAATAAATAAATAAAAACAATGGTACTACAAAGCAGCATGGCCATAATGTCCCCTCTATATTCATAGTAGCAGTATACTGGAAAGAGCAGCACCTTGGAAAGGTCAAAACAGGGCTCTAGCTTTGACCTGCCATTGACTATTTCTACAACAGGAAGCAAAGTCACATTAGTACTCAGTTTATTACCCACAGAATAGGGGCTCACAATTCTATCTGAAGTCCCCTTTCAAATCTACAAAATGAGTGCCAGCCAACCATTTCATACATCCTTAAATCTTACTGAAAAGTTATTTTAAAAAATTCCATCCCTAATCACCTTGTAAAAGGTGGACTCTCCATGGGAGTTGCTAAGCTACCTCTCCCACCCTGTCTCGAAGCCGTCCCCACTGCTGACACCCAGGAAACTCCTCACTCGTTCTTCAAAAGGCCAAGTCCTTCTGAAACATGGCAACCTTGAACACTATTTCCTGATGAGTACATGAACTAAATAGAAGAGCTCAGTATACTGCCTGAGAACACGGAAGGTGACAACATAAAGAGGTCTCTTCCTAAAATCTGCTTTACTTATTCTCCAGGACTTCATTACACCATTCTTCCTCTGAGAGACTTCCTTGATGCCATAAGCTGAATTCCATGCTTCCCTGGGTGCTTACCACGTTATATATGGCAATTGTGTATATCAGAACAACAGATTATGATTTTCTTTAGGACAAAAGCCATTTCTTACTCTTCTTTAGTTGAATTTCAAGGCACAGCATCTGGCCTACAGAAAGCACTGATCACGCACTGCAGTGTTCCATATACTCAAACTCCTCTATAAGAGAATGATCTAATATGCTCTGTAGTGTGAATTTACAAGCTGATTTTAGATATAATTCAATAAATATCCCTGTACTTCTTTGTTTCGTGAATCAAACATAACCTCATAGTGTAACCTGCGTACTATGAAAAACTGTAAGAACGGTACATACCATGAGATCATGATGTAAAAGTGCCTCGAAATGCATACAGAGCAATCTAAGAAGCTAGGGATTTATTACTTACGTTATTTGGGAAATAAAATCTATTTCTTGCTTACGTTATAACCTCTGTGGCTTAATACAGTACTAAGGGTCCAGAAGAGGGCAATGAATGTTTGCTGAGTGAACAAATAAAGGCAACTCATTCTTACTCACATGCTCATTAACCTTGCTTTCTACGTTTTCAAACAATATGTAACAGGCACAAGGCTAAGTAATTCATATACATTACCTTAGTTAATCCTTAGAACTATCTCTATGTTCTGGATGGGGAAACCAGTATTTAGCAAGGCTTAAAAAGTGGTAGGGCCAGAATTTGAAATCATACTGTCAGGCTCCATTAGTCAATGTTCTCTCCCCTATACCCTATAGTTCTTTGTTTCTATTTTTTTTATTCCTTCCTGGGATCCACCTCGCTCATCAACAATAGTAACAGAAAATAGCGAGTGGCTGGCAGGAGAAGAAAATTTGTATCTATCACTTCAATTAGTTATTAAGGGCCCCCATTTTAAAAAAATGTTGGGGTGCCTGGATGTCTCAGTCGGTTAAGCATCCGACTCTTGATCTCAGTCAGCTCAGGTCTTGATCTCAGGGTCAAGAGTTCAAGCCCTGCATTGGGCTCCATGCTGGGTGTGTAGCCTATTTAAAAAAAAAAAAATGCTGTTTGTTGGGAGGGAATATAGATTGAAACAAAAAATTTTAAATATAAATGTATTTTTAAAATTATTGTACTATCCATGTCCTCCCAAACTGAATTCCACTTAACAGGAACTGGGCATTTCTTTAACATGTTATTCTAACAGCAGAATCTATGCTATTCTCATAACCAACTCTAGCCACGCCCCTGTGAATGGGAAAATGATGATGAGCAACTCTACTGCACAGAAGGAAAAATAAGCCTCTACTTATTTAGCTCTTTATTTTAAAAAGCTTATCATATATCTTTCTATATTGGGTCCCTTGGTAAACTTGAAAATCTACAGAATAGTTAGGAACTTGGTGAAGCTAATAAATACTTTACCAAAATCTCAAGTGTGGAGTTAATGGCCAAAGGTCCAATGTCAAGGTTGTTTTGGGGGAACTGTGAGGTAAGAGCAGAGGCAGAGAATCGAGACAGAAAGGTTCTAGTCTTGCCTGCCTCTTCCCAGCACGGTAATATCAGGCATGCTCTATCACTTCGGACGCCTAGGCTTTCTGATCTGTAAGAATGAAAGGGTGACAACTAGATGATCTCCAATTCTCCAAGTCTAACTTCATCACTGAGCTATAGTATAAGACAAGTCAGAACCAAGTACATCCTCCTTCCCACAAACTCATGTAAACTGACCATGTGCATCTCAAGGCCTTGCCTCTGTGCTGTCCAGCTAGGTTCTCTGATCTCAGACACCTGCCACCTGTTGTAACTGGCCTCCTTTCCATGTGCCTTTCCCATCCAAGAAAATAAATACAAAGTATACCTTCTCCCCAACCTTCCCTCTACCATCCCTGACTCTGCAGACCTTCCTTCAAACCTTTTGTAATAATCTCCTGCTTTCTAGAATAGCTGCCTTCTAATTGAGACATATGAACTCCTAGAAATACATAAAGACTTTCCAAGCCTGAATAGTTCTAAGGAAATCAATTTTCAAACCCTGACATTCTATATGCACAACTTCTTAAAATGACCTGAGAATCCACTTAATTATGTGACATTTAAGGCTGCTACTCTCACTATGGTGCCAATTTACTAACCCGATCTTCCCCAACTGCCCTACTTAAGCCAGGCTGGCAGGTTTTAAAATATGCCTAATTCTTTCTCACTTTTCCCCAAGAGGCTGTTCCTCCCTGCTAGAACGTCCCTTCCTTCCCCTCTTACTCCAAATTCAGCCTACCAAAAACCATCATCAAAATTAGTGAAGCTGCCTGGTGGGTTCACAGGGTTCAATATAAAATTCTCTTTCATGTAGGCTCAAAATTTTCCTTAATAAATATTCAAAAGGGTGGCTGGCCCTGGAGAATATGGTACTGGGAAAATAGAATCAGGAGTGAAAATTTCCCTGCAGGGAGAATGGCTGAGGAACTTCAGCACAGGGGTACATAATATTTATTCCAAGCTGTTTCCTGTTTGGCTCTGGTGTTTCACAGCTACCTCTAACACACTCCTCCTTTGCCATTCACTGAATCTTTGCCTCCACCCTGGAGATTTTGATAAAATATCTATCAGTATCACAAAGTTCTTAATTATTCTTCACCCAATCAGTACAATGCTATTAAACACACAACTCTAAACAACAACAAATTCAATCAAGGAAGACTTCCTGAGCCCCCATACTGAAACAGGCCTTTGCTGGGCCTCCCTTCATGGCACTGTGACCACCCTTCACGGAGTTAACTGAACATCTGTCTCAGTCGCCCACTGGACTGTCTCTGTCTCCTGTCTCTCCTGTTCTCTAACATCAGCTTGCACACAGCTGGTTCCTCATCAACATCTGTATTACTGAACAGAGGGGTTTGGGCTAGATGACATCTGAGTCTCTGAGAGTTCCAGAACTCCGCATCACCTATGACTCATGGTTGGCCAATATACCTCTCAGTGTCACACAAGAATGACCGAGTAAGTGAAGATATAAGGAGTCTTCCGTCCAAATAATCTAATTGCACAACACAGGAGTCAACCGTTGTTATTGTCTGGACAGGAAACATCACAAAGGCAGCAGCTGCCTAAAAGAGACATGACAAGGAAAGAAGACTCATCTTTACATACCTGTATAATCTCCTTCTCTTTACCTTTTAAGTGAAAATAACTGGATAGCAGAAAAACAAATTTCAAATGGGCCAAAATTTAATTTGCCTATTAGGATATCGAAGTTCCACTCATTTAAAAGCTGTGACATACTTGGTTACATAACTGTAGAAGACAACTCTTAAGCCTCTGTTTCTGGTTATCTAATCTTAGAAACTGGAATGACAAAGATAAAGCAAGTTTTGGAACATGTGACAGAACTGTCACACAAAAAACAGTACTTCTTCCTTTGGAAAAAAAGACAAATTAGGGCTATAGCACCTGTAAGGTTCCAAATGCTTTGGGGATTAAAAATATGTTAGGAATCTCTCTCTCTGCCTGCCTCTCTGCCTACTTGTGATCTCTGTCAAATAAATAAAATCTTTAAAAAAAGGGGGGGGGGCGCCTGGGTGGCTCAGTGGGTTAAGCCTCTGCATTCGGCTTGGTTCATGATCCCAGGGTCCTGGGATCGAGCCCCGCATCTGGCTTTCTGCTCAGCAGGGAGCCTGCTTCCTCCTCTCTCTCTGCCTGCCTCTCTGCCTACTTGTGATCTCTGTCTGTCAAATAAATAAAATCTAAAAAAAAAAAAAAAAAAAAAAAAGTTAGGCATCAAGCGGTAACTTTGATGGGTTACCATGACCAAATCAGAAGAATATTCTGATGTGTTAATTAAAATAAAATAATTTAGCCAATGGTAGTTAGATTTCTTCTTTTCCTTCAAAGATCCTATGTGGAAATAAGCCAAGCTCCCCATTATAACAATTTTGGAGAAGAGGGACAGTAAGAATTCGGTCTGCTCTGCCTTAATGAGAGACTGGAGCATTCTGTTAGGATAACCTGAAACTTAACCCTTCTGCTCCAACAACTGTAGCAGGAAGCCTGGGACCCATGCAGCTGAGCACAATCCAGGAAGTACCTCTTAAGATTCAATTTACGGTAAGTTACATCCATTTTGAGAAAAAATCTACCTAGACTCATGAGTTTCTTCTAAATAGGGACCTGGAGAACAGAAGCCTGGACAACTGATACCATTTCTATGTTTCCCATTTTGTTCACACAACTAATAAAGAGGTATCTCATTGGGGTGCCTGGGTGGCTCAGTCAGTTAAGCGTCCAACTCTTGGTTTCATCTCAGGTCATGACCTCATGGATCCTGGGATCAAGCCCTGCATCAGGCTCTGTGCTCAGCAAGGAATCTGTTTGAAAGATTCACTCCCTCTGTCCTTGCCCCCTTTCATTATCTCTTTCTCTCTCTCTCAAAAGGAAAAACAAAAAAAGAGAAGAATCTTATCTTTATTAATAGCCTAGTATTAATGCTTAATTTAAGTGCATCATACAGGTGAATTACAAAGTACTGCAATAGACAATGTGCAAATTACTGAAGTCAGCTCACAAAAGCCACCCTTAATAACGTATCAAGTTGAATCAGGCTACTATATTTCCTACACACAAACAAGTCTCCTCAAAATTAATAGCTTGGGCTCTAGATCAGCCCCCCAAGAAATATAGTAGATAAAATTGTGTTCTTCAATTGAAATTCTATAAGACAGTATCTTATATCTCACCCACATACACAAGGAACTGGACTGCTTCTTACCTTTGCTTGTTTGGAAGTGTTAAGTTTGATGGCAGAAACTTTCCCCATATGATCACCTACAAAAACTCTAAGAATAGCTGTGTCCCAACAGAGAGCTGTAACTTTTCGGCCTTTGTGCTCTGAAGACACATAAATTCGTTCTGGTTTCCCACGACGCTCCTGATTTAACTCCCAAACAACTACGAGACCTTGACTGCAAGAAAATGAGTCACAGAAGCAGACATTTGGCAATGGTGAAAAAGGTGCAATTTCTTTGTATCACAGTATCAATTATATAAAATATACATGCAAACTCCTGCTCTTCAAAAAAGAGGAAGTAGAAAGTCAAGGTACTAATTTCCTAGCTTTAGTCCACCAATCCAGTACGAGAGAACTTAGATGTTCTCAGTTACCTTACTCTTTTAAGGCCAGTGAAATGTTGTTGCCGCATACTGACATTTTCCATAACCCACAGTGACCAACTGTCTGTCTTGGTTTGCTGGAAACTGAAAGATTTACTGAGGACACAAGACTTTCAGTGCTAAAACTGGGACAGTCATAGGCAAACCAGGATGGTTGGCCACACTAACAAACACACAACTACATCTGTCAATTTAAACTGTATTTAGAGGGTCTTCTGGGTGGCTCAATCAGTTAAGTGTCTGACTCTTGATTTTGGCTCAGGTCATGGTCTCAGGATCATAGATGGAGCCCCCCCGCATGGCATTGAGCTCCAAACTCAGCACAGAGCCCGCTTAGGGTTCTTTCTCTCTCTCTGTTGGCTTGAGTGCTCACTCTCAATAAAATATAAAATACAAAATGTAGGGGAACCTGGGTGGCTCAGTGGGTTAAAGCCTCTGCCTTCGGCTCAGGTCATGATCCCAGGGTCCTGGGATCGAGTCCCGCATCAGGCTCTCTGCTCAGCAGGGAGCCTGCTTCCTCCTCTCTCTCTGCCTGCCTCTCTGCCTACTTGCGATCTCTGTCTGTCAAATAAATAAATAAAACCTTTAAAAAAATACAAAATGTAAAATACACAATGTAAAATTAAATTAAATGTATTTAGAAAAGATCACATTATTTTAAAGCAGTTTCTCACCTGGTAGCTACAGCAACATAATCATCATCGTGTAAACAACAGGCAACCTGAGAAATTGCACCTTCCTATAACATAAAAGGAAGAATACTAGGCTTCTCAAAAACATTAATTTTTTACTTTTAAATCTCAAGATTTACATTCCTCTTTGACTCCAAATGATTATTCATAACAGAGAAACTGGAACTTAACAAAAGATATTCCAAATGGTATGACAGGACTACCCTTAATCTTACCCTGTGTGAAAGAAAGAGCCTGTGCTTCCAGCCTTCCTTCTGAATGAGATTGAGTCCTCCTCCTGAACTGCCCAAAGCCAACCATTTCCGAGACACAGCTATGCTCGTGCACTAAAAACATGGAAACAGACAAGCAAGAGATCATCAAAGTCACATAACCAAATTAACTGCAGGAAACGAATGCGAAGGATCTGTGTAGCAGGTTCCTCCCCCCACCCTACTCCCTGCCCAGTTTGACACCACATAATGCCACTTACCCTTTCATTCTAGTATAGTGAAACATACAGAACATTTTGGTTTTAAATGTTTAACTGAATCTCGAAATGAGTGAATAGGCTCAATTGTACAAACGAGTAATTTTCTCTTAGCAAAATCCAGTTATTAGACCATTTATCTTTTGCTTAATTTGGCTAGGTCATTCCAATGCTGACCACAAAGATGAAAGATCAAGTAAGTCTCCAGGGGATAAAGCAAATGCTGTAACCACTTACTCAACGTGAATCATTTCTAGTCTACATAATTAGCACTCAAACTACCCATAGCTTTTAGTACAAGTTGGCCTGTGGAGGACACAGATGCAGGTCAATTATGTCTTCCCCAGCCCTCAGCTTAATGATCCCCTTTCCTTATCCACCAGAGAAAATAGTGGTCATACTGTACCCAATAATACCCTGTGACAAAATTTGCTGCTTGCCTGATGAACAGACACTCCCAAATCTCTCAACCTTGCTTTCCACCACAGAAGCTAGAAAATCTAAATATGCATTTACCCAAGCTGTCTTTTTTTTTTTTTAAGATTTTATTTATTTATTTGAGAGAGAGAGTGAGAGCACAGGCAGGCAGAGGGAGAGAGAGAAGAAGGCTCCCTGCTCAGTGGGGAGTCTGCTTCACCCCCTCCCTCTGCCTCAGCCCCAGCTTGTGCTCACGCACATGCACACATGCTCTCTCACAAATAAATAAAATCTTTAAAAAAAAAAAAAAAAGGGCGCCTGGGTGGCTCAGTGGGTTAAAACCTCTGCCTTCAGCTTGGGTCATGATTCCAGGATCCTGTGATCGAGCCCCACATCGGGCTCTCTGCTCCGAGGGGAGCCTGCTTTCCTCCTCTCTCTCTCTGCCTGCCTCTCTGCCTGTGATCTCTGTCTGTCAAATAAATAAATAAAATCTTTAAAAAAAAATAGGTATTTAAAAAAAAAAAGAGCTAAGAACATGATACTTGTATGTAAGATATTACTAGCATAGGGAAGAATATCCAAGATTCCAGTAAACATAAAGAACTAGAGGGCAGGGAGCATATACAACAGAGCCCACAAAATATATAAATATGAACATGAAATTGATATAAGGATCAAGAAATTCACCTTTAGACGACTGGAGTCCAGCCTCAGGGCTGAAAGTAATGGATCCAGAGACTCAAACTCTGCAAGAACATGGCTGTAGGACTCCGGTATCACTGGCACAAAAGCCATTGAGTTGGAAAGTTGAAACCACCTTGAGTGACAGGCAAAGTACTCCTGAATAACACCTGCAAAAATAAAATTTAAGAAGCTCTTTGCTCAGTCAGCATATATTTAATGGATATATGGAGAACAAAGAGAATTATGAGAAAGGGAGAAAGGGACAAGGATCCCTACTCTGGAGGTACTTAGCATCTAAGTGGAAAGAAGGCACATAGATAATATTATATGGAACCATCACCTTCTACTGTATCATTGCCTGATTCTGAAACTCGCAGATGATCAAGTCCAGAATGTCAAGGTCCTCCCTAATCCTACCCCACTCTGTTTATCTCACAGTGCGAGTGGGTAGGATAGGCAATGTAGGATTTAAGAGGGAAACTGGTCAAGCTCCTCTTTGGTAAAATAGCAACCTCGGTTGTACTTCAAGCTGTAAGTCTTCTTCTGCCTTTCGGAGTCTCTCATTAAAAGGCAATGTTCTCTAAAGGCTTCAAACTATAAACCCTATCAGCAAACTCAATAGTTACCAGCCAACAATTTGGCTTGAAAGAGTGCTTCAAAGAAAAAGACTTCTGGAACTCCTTCTCCAAACCATCAGGGGCTCAGTAAGTATCTGCTGAATGAATGAATGCATCTACATAGTGGGAAGTAAGGTGCAGGGAATTAAAAACTCAAAGAAAAGAGCTTTAATAAGAGAACTAATACAAATGAATAGGAATAAGAATACAAAACAGCAAATGCTAAATACCCAATGAAGACATTGTAAACTAACGCAAGAGTTTATCTGTTCTGCAACTCTCAAGTGTTGATATAAGGATCAAGAAATTCACCTTTTTGTTAAACTGCACCAACTTCCAAAAAAGAAGTAAAATTCAAGAAAATTCTTACCCATTAATTTTAACTTTCCTAAGTCTTTTGTCAAATTAAGAAAAGCAAACAGTACAGAAAAATTTAGAAACAACCATTTATTTTTGTTTTTAAATTACTTGTACTTTTTAATTTTTTTTTCCCAGAACCACATGTATTTACTCACTCACTTATTGATCAAATATGTACAGAGCGTCACCAGCTAGACCCTAGGACCGTACCTTTACTTCTCACTGGCTTTTTCCCACTGACCTTTGTCCCACATTTTTCCTTAAGCTCTGCTTTCTAGCTTATCTCTTAACTCAAGCAAAAAACCCCAGGGGCCTAACATCCCGTGATGGAAAGAAACTGAAACTACCCCTCAAGCAGTAACCGTTGCTCTGACAGGAGCTCCATCCGCTCAGGCAGCCTGGACCAGTTTGAGCTTAACCCCGGAAATCAGGCCTTTTCAGAGCAACCATGCAGAGACCCGGGAGTGACCCACAGTTACCTTTACCTCAGTAGAATACTAAAATAACCCATGGAGGAGCACAAGCCTGCTTTACGTTTAACATACAACGTATGCATAAGCATGTTTCCTTAAGGAGCATGCACGACCTTATGCTAGCCTCTACATAGTACAAGGCTCCCCTATCTAAATATTCATCCTAACCCTAAGTAAAAGAAACCCATTCATCCTTGCTTGGGGAGTCACAGCTTTGGAAGTTATTCCCCATGATCTCCCTATTTGCTGCAAATAAAGTTTCCTTTGTGCAACAACTCTACCCCGTGTAGTTTCTACCTGTGATTCACAGGCGTGAACACAAAGTTTGTTAGGTTACAATAGCACCCACCTGTGCACTGTTCTAGGTCCAGGAGACAAAACAAAATCCTAACTTTCAGGGAGCATCCTTCCCAGTGGCAAAACACACATACACTTATGATTTTTTTTTATTGTATAGACATATAGACATAATACAGTCTTATTTCCTATTTGTTATAATGTTCTTAACACAGCTTGATCTCTGCGAGGCGAATAGTAGTTCAAAAAAAAAAAAAAAAACGAAAAACAAATCTTTAGTAGTCCCATATGCAAAATATCTGAGAATTCCAGGGTGCGTGGCTGGCTCAGCCAGTGGAGTATGTGACTCTTGATCTCAGGGCTGTGAGTTCGAACCCCACTCTGAGTGTAGAGATTAACTAGAAATAAATCCTTTGGACTGCGTGGGTGGCTCAGTCAGTTAAGGGTGTGCTATCAGCTCAGGTCAGGATCCTGGGGTCCTAGGATCAAACCCCATGTTGGGCTCCCTGCTCAGCAGGGAGTCTGCTTCTTCTTCTCCCTCTGCCCCTCCCTCCTCTCTCAATAAATAAGTACATTTTTTGCACACTCTCTCAAATAAATCAATAAGCTCTTTTTAAAAATAAATAAATACAATCTTTATGCTCCCCCCAAAATTGAGAATTCCTGATCTGTGAAAAATCTCTCATTCTTTTCACTCATTCATTTTATTGACTTCTTAGTGAATACGAGGCACAATGGTGGGAACAAGACAAATAATTCCAGAAATCAGTCACTTCATAAATAGGGAGAAAATGCACACACACGCACATACCCCTCAAAAGGGAGAGAGAAGCAAAGTGCTATGTTGGAATTTAGAGGCAGAAGAACCACAAAGGAATCATAGAAAACTTCCTAAGGGAATAGCACTGGAGCTGAGTAGAATTTTATCAGGAGGAAAAGGAAAATGGCAGCAATAAGCAAAAATATAGAGGATACATTTGGAGATACATTTAGTCTTTGGTTGAAACACAGGATACAAATGGAGTAATGAAAGATAAAAACAGAAGAGTAATTCAGCACAAGGTATGAAATGCTTTTGACTTTCAAACAAAGGAACCTGAAGAAATTTTGAGAGGCAACAGAAAGGAACTGAAGGATTTGGTGTTAGGCAATCACAACTTCTGTGAAGTGCTGTGGGCACACACTAGAAAACAAAGATTTCAGAAAAATATTGAGTGGTAAGGAAGTAAAGATAAGGCCTTCCAATTATTCAAGAAACCTGGTGGAAAAGAAAACTTTTCTTGACTTTTTTTTTTTTAAGACTAATTTGAAAGTGGAGAGAGGCTAAGGGACTCTTCAAGCAGAGTCCCTGCTGAATGAGGAGCCAGTGGAGGTGGGGCACGAGCCCAAACCCCTGAAGTTGTGACCTGAGCTGAAATCAAGAGTCTGACATGTAACCAATGGAGCCACCCAGACACCCCAACCTCTCTTTACTTTCTGAGCAGGAAATACTCAAACGATTTATAAGTAGTAGCTTAGAGTCTTTAGAATGAGAAGTACTGAAGATTCAAGAAAAAAACAAAACCATAGTATAAAATCCTAAAGAAGATAGAGAGGAATGACATCAAGCCCACAGTATCTATCTCTTCTGTTTGTTATCCTAAGCTCTGAGGTGGATAGGCCATTTGGCCTTGATCTCAGTGTCCTACAAGTTATAATTTAATGAGGTAAAAAAGAACCTAGTAAGTTCCTGTTTTTCTAAAAGAAAAAAAAGATCTAATGGGAAATGAGAATGAAAAAGAAACAGCAAAAGCAATGTCAGTTCTCAAGAAAAGTTGCAGGGTGATGGTGGTAAGCCAACTCCAAATTTATACTTCTTTGTGCTAATTTTCTCCTTTTAATATTTAAATCTTATTACTTAGAGCTTTTACTAATTATTTCTGATTGTGTCTTCTACAGTTTAAGGGAGCAAATTTACTTCTTCCAAAACAACCCTTCAGTATCTGAAAAGTGTTATTAGGTCTTCTAAAAAAAGTTTTTTTTCTTTAGGTCTTCTAAAAATTTAACATTCCCAATTCTTCAATCATTTCTGGCATGACAATTTCCAAATTCCTCTCTATTCTTGTCAATCTTCTACACAGGTGATAGGGTTTGCCTGAAAATATGGTACCTAGAATAGAACACAATATTCCTTAAGTAGCTGGATAACACAGAATAGAATAGAAACAGTAACCTCCTGGATCTGGACACTAAGTTTCTATATTACAACCTAAAATACCATCTGATGTGTTTCTGAAGTGGCCATGTCACACTTTTGACTCAACTAAAACCCAAAGACATTTTCACATAAAATGAATATAATCTTCCTACCTAGTATTTACGTACAATAGAACTGAACTCAACCTGAAATTTGCTATTAATCAAACGTGACAATGAATATAAAAAGTACTTACACATTTAAATTCTCTGTAAAAACAATAGCACGATGTTGACGATTGTTAAAGATCGGTTCTGAGTACATGGGGTTCATTTTATTATCCTATCTACTTTTGTCTGTCTGTTTGTAATTTTCCATAACAAGATTTTTTTAAGAACTTTTTTTTAAACAGATTTTATTTATTTACTTGAGAGAGAGCGAGCGAGAGCATGGGGTGGGGGGGTGTTAGAAGGAGGAGAGAATCTCAAGCTGACTTGCGCTAAACCCAATAGGGGGCTCGATCCCGCCACCCTGAGATCATGACCTGAGCCCGAATTAACAGTCAGAAGCTCAAATGAACCACCCAGGAGCCCCTTTAAGTACATACTTTTTTTTTTTTTCAAGATTTTATTTATTTGAGAGCGGGAAAGAGAGAGCGATTGGAGAGGGAGAGGGAGAAGCAGAGACTCGCCGCTGAGTGGAGAGCCCGATGTGGAGCTTGATCTTAAGTCCCTAAGATCATGTCCTGAGCCACAGGAAGACGCTTAACCATCAGAGCTACCCAGGTGCCCCAAATATGTACTTTTAAAAAGAAATCTCTGTACAAATCTTCAAAGGCTCCCCTTCTTACATAATCTATCATGTCATCCTTACTTCTTTTTCCAGCCTCATCTTCCACTTTATACCGTTTTCCAACTATACCAAGATTATCTTTTGTCTCTCTTTCACTGTATAAACTTTCGGCGCCTCCATGGTTTAATAGATACTCTTTTTTGATCCTTCATCCATCGAACAAAACCCTTTCTGCAAAGCTGAGTTTAAATATTACTTGTTAATATTTAAAAACCTAAACAAATAGAGGGTGGCTATAAGTGCTTACCAAAGTCAGTGCAACAATCTTAAGGGTTGGCTTGCCCAAGGTTACAGAACTCTGCTAAGCCAGAGCAGAGACTACAATCCAGTTCTCCTGAGTTCAAATCGAATAATCATGTTTCCATGTCCACGCATAACTTGATGATAACATAAACGAGTAGTAGGATTAAGAAAAGGTTTTTCTCATCACCCTAATACTTACTCTACCAATGGACCAGTGTTTGCTGCTCACACGTCAAAAGCAAACAACAGCGTTCTTTTTCCCCCACTAGCTACGTGGAAGGAGGAGGAAAAGAGAAGGAAGCAAGCAAAAATTACAGATACTATGCTAAGAGTAACAGGAGATTCCCCCATTCCACAACAGGATCGTTCTACCCAAGAAATAATAATCCGAGAATTCCTCAGAGAAACTCGTCAGAGAAATGGAGACTCACTCATAAATGCATCATGCATTCGGCGCGCTTTGTACCCACCGCTGCACACGGTCCCTACCCTACGCACAAGAAGCTTTCTAGCGGAACCAATAACTTTCTGGCAGCGATGTCTTTAATACTATATTCAAATTTCTCCAGGAGAGAAGCATCGGCAACCAATTTTTCCAAAGCAAGGTTGACAGACCAGCAGCACCGCTCAGCCCCGCTTCATCTCCAGGCTGGTAGCCCCCAATTCTCAGTGAATCAGACCCTCTCTCACGGCCGGTCGCCGTGACACTCACCGAGCAACTTAAAGCGGTACAGACACTCCACGAGCAACTAAGAGCGACACCTGTGAGTCTTTCTCCCCTTCCGCACTTCCCCGCCCCGGTTTACGTCATCCACAAGCGCCGAGGACGCGGGGACAACGCTATTAACGGTACTTCCTTGTCACGTGACGGGCTACGCCCCTGCTTGCGCGTGGTCCCTCCCCCTCCGGCCGCGGTCGCAATTACGCTCTCTGCGGCCTGCAGTTCACGGATTGCTGCCGGCCGAAGACGCAGCGCCAACGGGGACCGGAGGACGTTTAGGCTAAAGGGGTGAGCCAGCCAGGATCCCGGGACTTTTCACAGCTTGAGACCCGCGAAAGGAAATGAAACAGGCGGGAACCGGCGGGGGAGGGAGGGAACTAGCGGAAGGTGTCATGGCGGCCGCGCTCTGGGTCACGTGCCCGGCAGGCCCGCCTTGGTACTTCCGGTCACGTGCCCTCAGAGCCCTCGCAGCCAGCGATGGAGGCGAGACCCCCCAGTATCAGAGGCGGTGGCGACGGAGGTGGCTACTGGGTTTCAGCGTCTTTCCGGCAGCGTCTGTAAGAAACGCAGCGGAACTCGACCCGACTCAGCCCAGTTACTTTATTCCCTGCCCAAGGCCGTAGCTTCCACCTGGTAAGTTTAGACCGAAGAATGGGGGTGGGTGGGTGGGTGAGGAGCTGACAGGCCCGGGGGCCGCAGGACGGCGTGGATTCTGCTCCTTTTCCCTGTGTCCCTATTGCCGTCTCCACGACTCCGAAGCCTGGCATCTCGGTAGCCCTCTATTGTCCTGAAGCGGGGGATAGGCGACCCCTAATCTGCTGGCTTGTAGGAAGTCTGCCCCATTACTAAGAGCAAGGGACTCGAAGATTTACTGAAAGCCAGGATCAGACTTGGCTCCGGATAATGAAGGACGTGGAGGCCTCTTCCTGACAGAGGATCCCTTTCCGTTAGGAAATGTGCTGTTAAGTCTTTCAGTTTCTGTAGCTTTGACCTTAGTGTCCGCACACCTTTTGCTTCACCTGTCAATCCTACCGCTTCTTAAAACCTTCTTAACACGTGTGCCAGTCCACTCGACCAGTTTTGGTCTGTTCCCAATCTGATTGTCTTGTAATGATGAAAAATAGAGCACCAACCCATAGAAATGTATAATTATTTTTATAAATTCCCCAATGTTCTCAGAGACAAAATTAACTAAGGGAGTATATTCAGTTGACTCTTAAACGCCCATTTTGGCGGTAAGTTGGGGGCTGGGGAGAGATATAAAAACTTACTCTTTTTGCCTATTAGAAGACCGAATTTTGGGGCGCCTGGGTGGCTCAGTGGGTTAAAGCCTCTGCCTTCGGCTCGGGTCATGATCCCAGAGTCCTGGGATCGAGCCCCGCATCGGGCTCTCTGTTCAGCGGGGAGCCTGCTTCCTCCTCTCTCTGCCTGCCTCTCTGCCTACTTGTGATCTCTGTCTAATAAATAAATAAAATCTTTAAAAAAAAAAAAAAGAAGACCGAATTTTAAAAAACATACAAAAACTCAGTGGTTTGAACTACACCTTGAAGTAAGTATTAATTCCATGAAGGAGTGGAAGTTTCTCTCCATGAATTCTTACTGTGAACTCCAGTATACAAAACAGCATTCCATGGTGGAATTGGATTTGGGATGGCTAAGCCCCACCCCGTTGGCTTCCCCTCTTGGAAGAGTTTGAAAACCACTTAACTGAGCTTTGGTAAATAAGCCAAAATTGCCAACCCTAAAATGGATTTTAAAGTCAAAACTACAGCAAATGAGATGGAGAAGTCACACCAGAAGGGAAGATAATCTCCAATATCAGGGCTATGGCTTACAGAAGGATTGGGCTCTGGAGAGAACTTTGTACCTTTTAGCAGACCTAAATCCCTCATTTGGGAAGGAGGGAGAGAGAATTTGAGGCCATTAAACCTGTTTTTTTTTTGCCCTCACTCAACTGACATTTAGCAGTGCAGCAGATTAAAAGTGTGAGTTTCTCTTAGGTGATATTATGTACATAGAGTCATGCAAATGTAAATTAGCCATGGAAATGCAGGGAGAGCTTTTTAAAAATACTAGGAATATTGGTGCAGAGAGGAATCTGTTTAATAAACCAAATGATTGGCTTCCTGCATGGAGGCATTTATCTTCTGCCTGCTGGTTTATCTTTCCGCCTTTTAGCCTTGCTTTTCTGTGCTGCTGGGGTTTTTACCCCCTAATACCAGACTGAGCTTTCCTAGCATTTTGACCACTATTTCTACCTTCTGGATATGGCTACTAGAGGTGTCTTGTGCCCTTCCTCTTTTCTCTCTTAGCCTGTCTTCAGTGTGGCAGTATCAGGCATCCAACTAATAAGTAATATCTCTCCCTTCCCCACTTTGATTACCAACTGATGGCTCTCTCAATTTTGATGTAGTACTCTTGTCGGCATGCAGTATTTATTAGTGAATATGAGCATACATTTCATTCTGTCTTGGTCTCTGTCGCATTTTCCTCCTCCTGCCTCTCCCTGCACTGCTGTAAAATGAAAAAGTGCTTGGTCTCAAAATTGCTACATCAGTTATTCCCCTTAATAGCTTCATTGTGTGTGTAACTTTCATTAAAATGGTAAATTTTGTTCGCTTTTTACATACTTCCGAGGTCTTGTTCCCTGTAATGCTGAATTGTTAAAATTTTTTTGGATTGCCTCATAGCAAGCAGCATTCCAGATCTCCATTTTGTATGCTGGCAGATACAGCAGCTCTAATAATAATTCTCCTTTAGAAGCTGATATGGAGTTTATATTTCACCTGTTGTCCTTGTTTCTGCCCCATTTATCTCTGCACATTAGAAGGAGATGTAATCTAAAGGTTTCTGTTGATCAGTTTCAAGTTTTTCCTATCCCTGTTTCCTTATAAGCCAGTTATTGGGATCTCTGAGGAATGATACTGTGATCTCTGAGTAAAGAGCTATAATGCTTCCTGGAGGTTAGCCAAGGATATATGTGTAAAGATGTCTTTTGTATCTTACTAAGCTGGTGTTCTTTTTTTTTTTTTTTTAAGGTTTTATTTACTTATTTGACAGAGATCTCAAGTAGGCAGAGAGAGAAAGAGAGGAGGAAGCAGGCTCCCCAGTGAGCAGCGAGCCCGATATGGGGTTCGATCCCAGGACCCCGGGATCATGACCTGAGTCAAAGGCAGAGGCTTTAACCCACTTTAAGCCACCCAGACACCCCCAAGCTAGTGTTCTTTTAACAAGAAGGACTTTAAGTAGACATCAGAGATATTTATTGGACTCTTCATATAGGCCGAATAGGTGGCTGGGTGCTGTGCCGCAGTGATAACATGCATCCTCTTCCCTTTATGAAGCTTGTAGTCTGTCAGGGGAGACAAGCATTAAAAGAATTACTTTAGAAATTAATTATAGGGGCACCTGGATGGCTCAGTGTGTTAAGCCCCTGCCTTTGGCTCAGGTCATGATCTTAGGGTCCTGGGATTGAGCCCTGCATCGGGCTCTCTGCTCAGCAGGGAGCCTGCTTCCTCCTCTCTCTCTGCCTGCCCCTCTGTCTACTTGTGATCTCTGTCAAATAAATAAATAAAAATCTTAAAAAAAAAAGAAATTAATTATAGTTGGGATAAGTGTTATCAAGAGAACAGAAAGTCTTGTCTAGTAATTTTGAACTTAGTACTCTAACTACCAAAAAAATGATTAAAAGCCAGTTGATAAGAAAGGAGGAGAATGTGCAAAGGCTCAGCAAGGCATGTACATTTAACTTCAAATATTTAACTGCAAATGAATTAATCCCTTTACTGGAGGATCTTGCTATTTAAAGTAGTCTTGTGGCAGATAATTTCATAAAGTAAATAATCTTTTAAGCAGGGGCACCTGGGTGGCTCAGTTGATTGAATGTCCAAGTCTTGGTTTCAGCCCAGATCATGATCTCCATCTGGATCCTGGGATCGAGACCCGCTCTGTGCTCAGTGAAGAGTCTGCTCGTCCCTGTCCTTCCCCCTCTACCACTTTGCCACACCCCCTAACTCCCCTCCACTGCACGATCTCACTCTCATAAATAAAGATAAAATCTTTAAAGTCAGCAAGAGAAAGGGAGAGAGCACAAGCAGGCAGAGAGTGGCAGGTAGAGGCAGAGAAAGAAGCAGGCTACCCGCTGAGCAAGGAGCCAGATGCAGAACTTGATCCCAGGGTCCTGGGATCATGACCTGAGCTGAAGGGAGAGGCTTAACCGACTGAGCCACCCAGGTGTCTCTAAAAAAATAATCTCGGGCGCCTGGGTGGCTCAGTGGGTTAAGCCGCTGCCTTCGGCTCAGGTCATGATCTCAGGGTCCTGGGATCGAGTCCCACATCGGGCTCTCTGCTCAGCAGGGAGCCTGTTTCCCTCTCTCTCTCTCTCTGCCTGCCTCTCCATCTACTTGTGATCTCTCTCTGTCAAATAAATAAATAAAATCTTAAAAAAAAATCTCTTAAGTAAAGCTAGATCTTCAAGCTGATTTGTTGAGATGGAGCTAACCAATATTTTCATAAACAATATATTCTGTGGCTCTTATAGAGGTTTATTGGGAAGAAGTTTTTGCTCTTCTGTAGAAGAGAAGGAGCCATCTTCAAGAAAAATCTGGAAATCACAGAAGACATTGTAGGATATCCCCACCAATTTTATTAAACTTTCTAAAACCCGTTTTGTGCAATTAACAGAGGTGCTACAAATGAACAAGGAAATTTGCCAAGCAAGTTAGCTGTGAGACAATTGGCTAGTCATCCCAATGTTCAGTTACTTATCTCTGATTTATTTTGAATGTTTTCCTAAATGTATTTTATTTATTTTTTTTTAAGATTTTATTTATTTATTTGATAGAGATCACAAGTAGGCAGAGAGGCAGCAGGGAGAGAGGGAGAAGCAGGCTCCCCGCTGAGCAGAGACCCCAATGTGGGGCTCGATCCCAGGACCCCGAGATCGTGACCTGAGCCGAAGGCAGAGGCTTTAACCCACCGAGCCACCCTGGTACCCCACCAAATGTATTTTAATATGAATGGTTTTACGTGCTAGTGACTGACTCTAATGGTTCTCTCCATCCCCTGATTTATTCTCCATTTTACAGTTTCTCTGTCTTCATTCATCTTTT